CGATGATGCCAGTTGGAACTGTTTTCTTCCAATGAAACCTATTTTAAAATGACAAAATAAAAAAGTTAGGTTTACAAGAAAAACTTCAAAATAATTCGTTTGTAGCCTTGTAAATTCTTCATCGCTTTCATTTTTCAATATTTTTTCAAAACACCATTATTCTAAAATACTATAAAATTGTTTTAAAATGACAAAAAAGTAAACGATAAATGTTTATAAAGAAGAACATTCTGTTTTGGTATTTTGTAGTTTAAGACCCTCATTTTAGAGTGTTCAGGAAATATGCTGGAAGATTTTAATTTTGCTCAGCTTCATTTAGTCATAATGTTATTATATAAATGTTTATTCTAATATTTTGAGAAACCGAACATCACCTGAGAACCTGTTCTCGACACAGCCATTTTCATTGTAGCCCATCAAGGAAAAATTTTTCATTTGATGATAATCATTAGTTTCCTCCAAGCTAAATCCCTCACAATTTTAAAGCGTGAATATCAAAAGGAATTTGCGCTTAGTTTTGCAGTCTAGGCATAAAGGCATAAGGCATAAATAAATAAGAAAAAGGAACTCCAGCAAGTCAGATGGCAGAAAAACTGGTAAAGATGGGCTCAGGTGCATACTGAGCCAGAATACGAATTTCAAAATCGAATCCAACAGAAATCAGGGCGTTTCTAGATTTGCGTTGGGGGAACTATAGTATATGCATATTTGTGTCAAAAGAAAAACACATATAGATAATATATTGGAACAGGAAAATCGAGGCATAAAAATTACTTTTAGTCAAACAAAACAAAACATTTTCTTACTTATTAAATTGGTAAAAATTGAATAATTGAACAATTTTTCATTGGCAAATGGTTCATTTTAAAAGCTAAGCTACAAATTCCCAGAAAGAAAGCATTGGCTTTTTCAGAGGAAAACAGGAATGGTTTTGGAACATCGAAACTCCTCGGAATCTGCCTCTGACTCAACATTACAAAACCCTGACTCAGATTCACCGACAAATCAGACCAATTGTTCAACAAGTTGCAAGTACAAAATGCTGAAAACTTGCCCCAGTGGATGATCAAAAGAGGAGGAGAAAGGAAAAAGATTTCTGATCTCCATCAAAAGCAAAAAAACAAAACTCGGACTCTCAACAGAATGAACCAGTTGTTCCAACAAGATTGAAAGAACAAAATACTGAAATTGTGGACCAAGAAGAGTAGAAAAATGGTGGAGTTGCCGAGAAAAAGAATAAGCTTTTATGATAACTGCTTCAACCCCTTCAACCCTTAGCCCTTAACCATTGAAAGCCCATTTAAAAGTATCTGAAAATTACCGTAATGTTGGCACTCCTTTTATTCAATCGGCTCACTTTTGAAAGTTTATTCTTTGAGGGTTCCTGAAAGAATACCGAAGAAAAATATAAAAAGTAGATAGATTTTACACATTTATCCATTTTCTTCAACCTTAGAAAACTATCGCAACCTGCCCTCTATTTTTATCCAATCTATTAGGTACTTGCAAAAGAAACTGCGAATTATAAACCACATTCGAACAATCCGAAAATCAATAAGCAAACAACTTTATTCCAAAAGATATTCACCATTATGAACAACTATGTTCTTCCATTTTTTACTGTTCTCTTTTTACTGTTACTGTTTACTATTCAAAACTAGTGCGAGTTGTATGGAGATGTCAAAATCAAAACGTTAATTTGTAACGAGACTAAAATCAAGTTTAAGATTGGATATTTAATATCAAATGATTGATGGCAATGAAACGTTTAGAAACCGACGACAATCACGAGGACGAGATTGACAAACTCTACGGTTTCTCCAAAAGCACCCATGCGGTCATGAATGTGAAAAGTTTCAAAGATAAAAAGTAAAACGGATCTTCATTCTCGTCAATCGCTTGCTCAAGATTGTTTCCCCAAATTGATAAAACTGTGATTTACTCTTTCTTGATCGTAAAAAATCTGTGATTAATCCCAAATCTTTAACTCACTTTAGTCTTTGTTTGTAGTCCAATATAGCAAAATGTCGTGTCACATAAACTGTGCATTTTCTTTTGCCAGTAAACCGAGAGGAAAGATCGATACACAAAAGCATTGCATTTTCTTTGCTCATTTTTTTACAATCGTAAAAGAAGAGCGTTATTTAAAAATCTTTTTTAAGAAAACTACCGTACTCATACTGCCAGTTTCCATTCGATCAGCTCAATTTTGATATCATTCATTAATTCCACATTAAATAAGACCATTAAATAAGGCTGATCGAGTGAAAACTGGCGTTTTGATTACGGTAGTTTTCTAAAATAGATACCTTTTCGGCAAACGCTTGACTGAGGGGATTACTGTAGCTTCGGCTTACGGTAATTTACTGTAGCTATGTATTGATGCAAGCAAAACTAGGATAGTACGGAAATAACGATCAAAAGTCAAACTCAAATCTTTTATCTGGTACATTTTCCATGTCGTTTTCGCACGTTATTCCTTTCTAAATAAAGTATTTATATATATATATATATATATTTAAAAATATCTGATCAATTGTAAGGTCTTTACGGACGGTAAGAACAAAATCACTTACAATTTATCCTTTTGAAGCTGCTTTTTACCCATTGAAATCGATCAAAACCTTCAGTTAGCTCGAAAATTCGAAGTAAAATTTCTAAAAAAGTCAAATAAAATTAGAAAACTATCTAAATTGAATTACCAAAGAAATTTGAAATATCATTAAAATTGCTGATAGAAGCCCCAGGAGCGTCGGGATTACAAAAAGTAGAAGGAAAATAATTGTGATCCCTAGATTTAGATTTAATATGAGAGAAAAAGTGTTTAGGATTGGCAGAAGGAATCGCGCGTCTTTCAACATTAGACTCAAGCTTTTTGCTAAATTTAGAAAGAGATTTTTGCGCTTTAGCAAGAACTGGATCGTCAAGAGGAGTTGGAGCATAAACTGAACGAGTAAAAGTCTCTAAGAGTTTGGTCACACGGACTTTAGCACCTATAATATGCTCCGACAAAGAGGCAGAAGAATGCGTGCAGGAATTTTTAACTAATAGCTAAAAGAAGAGAAGAAGTGAGAATCTTAAAGTCACAATCAATTAAAGAGAAATTAGGGCAAAATAAAGATAAAGATAAAGGGCAAAGAGGAATGAAATCTAGCGCCGCCTTATCAAGATTAGAAGAATAATGCAAACACTTGCGTAAATCCTGTGTTGGTGAGAGACCCTTGACTGAAAGGCGAATGGAATAATGGTCCGGCCGAGGAAGAGGTGCAAGGCGTGCGACGTTCGAGATCCAATCCATCTTATCCGCGAGGAGGTTGTCTAAAGTAAAAGTAGAGCAGACAAACGTTGGAAAACGATTTAGAAAATAAAGCCCATTTAACAGCGCAAATTCTTTGAAACAAATAGAGGGTCTATGATAAAAATCAACCGAGGGGGTATTGCCTTTAAAGAAGATTCTACAATTAAAATCACCTAAAAGAATGTTTTGATCACGGGAATGTAGGAACAAAGAAAGATGATTAAAAAGCCGCTCAGAACGATTTAGATCAATATCAGGTGGTCTATAGACAAGAATAACGCGAGCAAGAATTTTTACGGGCTTATAAGCATCATTTTTAGTCTTCGTTCCTCCCTCTTTCATGCACTTCTATTTGCCTAGGCTATGGCTCCGCACACTTGCCTCCCCCATACTAAAGAAGAACCCAGATCATTACCAACATTTAATTTAAATTAATACAAATCAATTCTTAATGCACTTTCTTTTGAGTCACCCATTCAAGAGGATCTACAATAATTCATTTCATCCGGATGATACCTCGACACCGAAATGACCAAAGGCTGAGTGAGTTTTGTTCGTTTTTACGATAGTTATGCGCGACTTTATTTTATGTTGTCTGGTAATGCGTGTTTTAGATTGGACGGAATCGAGCCGATGCTCACCCGGCAAAAAAGTATGTCATGGAAAACAACATCGCGATGGAAGCTGCGGATCTTCCTGATCAATACCAAGCCTGCAGGACCAGTATCACAAGCGTCAATATGAGATGTTCTTCAATGCACACAGAAAATGAGGAATGGCCAGTTTTTTTACTGCAACAATAGCAAGTTCACTTGGATACAATTAGCAAATAAAATAAAATTTATTTATTAACTTTTCTGAGACAGCACAAGGTCGACTTTGTCAACAGGTCCATCTGGTAGAGCGCCCAGCGCCACGATTTGATGATCAGAGATCTAGAGTTCTTCTATTGGTCGTTTACAGCAAATGACCAACCGCCTTATATACACCTTCATTGTCGCTTCACAACCGCGACGGTATGGTTTCTATTCGCATCACTAGTGGTTATTTCGACAGGATTTTCGAGGATCTCCGTTCTCCCATAGCTTGGCGCACTTCCTCAAATGCTTGACTGTTGGTTCCTTGTAACCATCCCAAGATTTCGTATTCTAAGAACACATTATCAAGCTATTACAAATGACAATCGATTTTACTTATACCTTGACCTGTCGATCTCGATAGTCCTGAAGAAGGACGTGTGGTTCAAATCGACGACCCAAGCGGGGCAAGTTGTGTCCCTCGACTGGGTGATATTCTTCGTCAATTCCGAAAAAATTGTTCCAATTTGGTACAAGTCTAAAGAAAGAGTTAGGACTGGTTTGGCGATAAAGACTCAGACTCACTCTTTCAGACGTCACAAAAACATAATTGATTTTGAGCATAGTATCGAGTGGAATCTCCAGACTTTCACGCAAAGTGTTTACTAGACGTCCTGCGGTTTCTGGATCGGAATCCCATATATCGTTGATCAATTTGCCGGACACGCTCTGCTTCAACGCTGCTCGCAGAAACGCTGGCATGGTCGTAAGCAGCTAAAGATTCATCCATTCTACCGTAAGTCACAGTAGGTACAAAAGGAGCGAAAACTAATAACCTCTAGAAGCAGCGATAGATCAGTGCAGTTGTTTTCCTCCAGCCTTCCCAGAAGCCCACAGGTTCATTATTCCCTTGCATTCAAAGAAATCTTCAAAAATTCTTTTTTCAAAACTCTTCAAACAGCTTCACCATTTTTTTGCCACATCCAATGGTGAATACAGAGAGAGCCCTAGATAATGAAGATAAAACTTTGAAAAGTAAAACCAAAGCTAAGCTAAAGGCATAATGATTTCTAGAAACACTTTATGAAAAAGGGTGGTGAGGGCTAAAACCATAGTGAATATTATATAGTCACGAAGAGTCTACCTTTAACCACTGCTTATTATCTTATCTGTCACAAACGTTTAAATTTCAAGAAAATTAAAAAAACTCACAGCATGCTTATCAAAATCCAGATCAAAATCATGGCTATTGAGAAACCGAGAATACAAAATAAAATTTTTTTTTCCTCTCTTTGTTTCATCGCACGCTTAAATGCAAATTTAGCATGATGTGCAAATTTTCGCATACAAATTTCAATCTTCCAATTAGCTTGTCTTTTTTCACTTTTAGAAACATTATTTATTGACCAAAGGTTTGTAAAATTAGTTGTGCGACCATTTTTCCTATCAATCCTTAATCGCTGAAACTGAGTGAACCGAATCGCGATGAGCTTTCATCGAAAATAGTCTAGTTTCAAATAATTTTATGGCTTTTATGGCTCATGCATGCAAAAATAATGCTTTTAACGCATTTTGGCCTGCGATCCCGCCCATGATACCATAACTCAACTCCCAAAAGACACCCCCCCTTTATTAAATGCCTGACGCGAAATTTAAGTTGACTTATGAAGCCGGCTCTGGTCAGTGAGGCAAAATGGGTTTTGGTACATCACTATCTCGACGAGCTCTGTCAAGTGTGACGGGGTGGTATGTTTTGGAGGGGGTAAAATTTCGACCCAAAATTGGTCAAAATCGACCAATACGGCCAGTTGTCGGATCACCTTGAAACTTTTACAGCGTATACTATAGGTAATTTTAATACCTTTGGTGTAAAAATTTCCACTGTACCAACGCCGTTTAAACGCCATTCAACACCATAAATAAGCATCAATAAGCATTTAACACAATAAGCAGTGCTTATAAAGCGGTAGACTTGTCTGATCAATGATTAATATTCACTACGGTTTTTAGCGCTCACCACCCTTTTTTCATAAAGTGCTCCCAGAAATCATTATGCGTTTAGCTTTAGGTTTCCTTTTAATTTTCAAACTTTTATCTTCATTATTTAGGGCTATTATTACAGTAGCATTGACAGTAGCATATTACATCAATCATTACGTACTTGAACGGTGACCATAGTGTAATCACTCTGCCGTCAGATTTCTCAATAGCCACATCAGCAGGAATCTAAAAAATGACAGAATTATCTAAGCTCTCATTTCCAGATTACCTTCCATTGTTTACCACCATCGCTTTGTTTTTGCAAGGTCAGCTTCCATTTATCAGCTCTACCCACAAAAATCTCTCGAACAGTGTCCAAAATTTCAAGTCTAAAACAAAGTAGTTGTATTCCCAAGCAAATAAAATACCTAAGACCGGCTTTTAGTTCCTCTTGAATGATAGAAAGAAAATTCTCGGCCTTTTCCGTTTTTCTTTATCTTCAGCTTGGCTTGATATGGCATCAAGATCAACATAGGCACCATGCATCGCATCAACAGGCGATTCATCACCACAAACCTAAAATTTAATATTTGACTCTTTTAGTAAATAATTCAACTCGTACCCTTAGAGTCGTTGAATTGGCAACACGAATGGTCATTCCTAAACGACTCCATCTTTCCCATTCGGTTTCTTCAAGTCTTCGACTGGTTCAATAACCCATAAATCATATAATAAATATGCTACTTTACTTGTGCTCCTCAATCGTCTTCTTGCTCCAATATCCGGGATAGGCCCTGCGCCTTGGAGTCAAATTGACGGCATTTTGATCCTAAGACAACGTTTTAAAGTCTTGTAGACTAATTCACCGCTTGATTGCTTCGTAAGACTCAGCGTTGGCTGCTGCAAATCGTCGAACCATAGATGGTGCCATCTTCAGCTCGGGTAATACCAGTCATTTTCAGCATCACGTCATGAGCCTAAATTGAGTCACACCTAGATACTATCCACCACTAAAGCACCTTTGTTTCATTGTTGACTCGAGCAGCAATTCCGATGTCAACCTATTTCAGAACCTGAAGACCAACTACTAACTGTTGATTTTTTTATAAACCTCATATATGACATCCTTGCGTTCATGTGGGGCGTAGTAACTGCCGAACACTCTGGACTTCTACACCGCCGTGCATTGGGTGGTTCGTACTCGGCTAAAAATAAGCCGGATGTTAAATTAAAGGTTACGAGATCAGTTACCGGCTCATCGGCTGACATCGGAATTTCTGCTCGAGATGTAGATGGCACCTAAGTAACATGAATCGGATATTTATGTGGTTGCAATAAAGACCGAATTGATTTATGTGGCGGAAACATAAAGTTTTCACAATAAAATAAATAAAAGATATCGCCATGTGTTTTTAACACAACAAATCATCGCCCAAAAAGGAAAATTGTACAACTTTATTTCACAAACAACTCAAAATCGCAAAATGACACAATAAAAGCACCAAAACTCTACAAAACTTTCAAAGCACCATATTTTCGATTGCAGGTTGGGAAGCAGAAGAGGCAGAAGGATAGAGGCTAGGATATAAGAACAGGATGTAGACACAATCCCTGCTCGAATCAATGTTTCGTCGAAAAAATAGACAGTGCGTAAAATCCTTCGTGTAATCTAAAGAATATACGCGACGCTTTTTGAAGAGTTCGTCCGCCATTCTGATGACTTCTTGCTGGTTTTCTCCGTCCAATCGCTTCATCCCACGGAATTGCGAAAGAAAATCGACAATTCGGGCAACCATCTCCTGAGAATACATGGTAATGCACATAAAAAGCCGCTTTCAAACTCTTGCTTGGGATCCGCTTCCTAACGATTGATTGCACGATCTTTTCAAAGTAATCCATTTTCGCTGACATATGCAAGAATTTGATCGAAGTTTTGACAAAAGCGTCGTAGTAGAAGTGGAACAAATCTCCGGAATAACCATGAAACCGGAGTTTTTTACAGGCACTTACCTGATTTGCAATGAAATTCTCAAAACGCTCGCTGATCACTTGATTTTCTTTGAGGAAATCAATTTTCCATGCCATCGACGCGAACTCTTCAACCCTCGAGCGAAAATTCTCAAGAAATTTCAGCAAAAGCTCTCCACTTTCAACCCAGATGGTCAAGCTTTTCACAGAGCTCAATTGATTCAAAAGCATCACGTACTCGTGTTGTTCGTGGTGGCAACTTATCCAAAATTGATCACAAGCGTAGATTCGTTTGATCAATGGAAGGTGGAGATCGGTATGAAGTTCGACGAAAGATGAGTCGGAGAATTTTCAGATTTTAATTTCTTCAATGTCTAAGTCGATAATTCGCACATGATGCCCAAAAACTATCCAGGGCTTCCGCAGCAGGATTGATCGAAATCCTGCATCCACCTTGGCCAACTCAATCGCATCATTCGGCTCCATTTGCTCGAACACCTCCAGCTTTAGGTCGTAGCATAGCTTCTCCATTGGGAATGAAGTCAGCTTTCGCATTTCAAACGGCATTTTGCTTCGCGTCACTCTGCCTGTAAATAAAAAAGCAATTAGATTTTGCAAAATCAAGTAGACACTTAGAACTAAAAGGATCTAGACCAAAATTCAAAATAATTCTAGATAACTCCGCCTATCAGCCATGATAAGAATGCTCTTAAAAATTTCAACTCCGACTTACCAAAACGCGTTTCAAAACCTTGGGGTTTCCTCATTGAAAAAGCAGTAGAGCTTCTCCATTAGGAATGACGTCAGATTTCGCATTTTAAACGGCATTTTGCTTGACGCTCACTCTACCTGTAATAATAAAGCAATTAGATTTTGAAAAACAAGTAGACATTTAGAATTAAAAGCATCTAGACCAAAATTCTGAAATATAGCTAGGTAACTCAGCATCAGCGCATAATAAGAATGGTCATGAAAATTTCAACTCCTAGTTACAAGAGGCGTTAAAAAAACGGGTTTCCTCTTCCGAAAGTGAGAGAAGAAAATGCAAAAATCGCGGATTCGGCCATTGGCAACGGGGTTTATACCCGAGGCGAAATGTATCAGCCGGTTAGCTGGTAGTATCTGTCAGCAAGGTTCGAGTTAGCGTTTCGTATTGCGTGCCAGAAATTCAGAGGAAAGGAATAGAAACTCGGAGGATTTTGGGCAGTGGATATTTACAAGGCGCTTCCCTAGTATTTTAATCGTAGTAATTTTGGCAAAAATCCATCGCGGTAGTGAAGCATGATGGCGTACAAAAGTTTCGCGCACCGAAATGTAAAGTCGTAGGGAAAGGGAAGTGACAAAATATCAAAAATTTACCCACCCAAATTTTCACTTTGACACCGTAAGCCCGCAGGCCACCGAGGCTAGGAGGCTCGCTCTAAACGACTTCGGAGGCGCTTGTAGTTTTCAGCTAAAGCTAACTGGGTACTCAGAGCCAGGTATCCATGTCGGTATTTTGGGTTTTACCCAAGCATTGTTATTGTAATAAGGCTTTAGTGCCGAAGTAGGTTCGTACATTTGAAGCGCTCGTTCAGTTCTGCCGCTGATCCTCAGTGTAGGGCTTAACTAGATATCCAGAGCATCGATTTGAGTTCTTAAAGAATAGTTGACAGGGCCTGCTTAACGGGTTCAGTTATCTTTTCGAAATTTTAGCAAAATCTAATTATTGTACAATTGATCTAAAGCTGAATAACTCCGGTTGACTTTCAAACGTTTGCATTGTTTCATTCATGAAAATCACCCCATCTTCGGCACTTTCTCATCAATCAAAACCCTCTTTTCCTTTCAGTACTCTCCCAGGTGCCCGCAAAGGCACGCAAGGCCATAGGAATTTCACCAGGCAAGAATAAAACCTATTGATTTTGTGTGGCACAATGTTGAACTCTTTTTTCTTTTAGAGGGGATTCTTTGGTGATAGGGATCTTTAGAGAGAGAAATTCTTTGGTGGATGAAGGGAACCTTTTTCCCGGCCCGGGATGAGAGATAGGAGGCTCAACTAGGAACTGTACAAAAAACGGAGAGTACGAAAAAGGAACCGAAGATTTATTCACCAATCCCCAATAGATTTCAAACAACACCACTCCCTATTTGGTTCCTATTTGGTTCCATTTTTGGTTTTCTTTTGCTTCGTATTTTATTTCTGTTTGGTTCCCCTTGCCCAATCATATTTGTTCAGCTCCTGGGAAAACGGGGACCAAATAGGAACCAAGGAAAAGAGGCAAATGAAAAGCCAAATAGGAATGAAATAGAATTTGGTTCTCGTTTGCATTCTATTTGGTTCTTATTGAGGTTCCTATTTGAATCCTATTTGGTTCCTATTTGGTTCCTTTATTCCTACCGGTTCCCTATTTGGTTCCCTATTTGGTTCCCATTTTTCCAGGAACCAGAACCAGGAACAAATGTGAACAAGAAGGAAAATAGGGACAAATAGGAATAGAACCAAATAGGAAAGCAAATAGTAATAAATAGGAACCAAATAAAGGAAGCAAATAGGGAACCAAACGGGAAGCAAATAGGAACCAAGAGGGAGAAACCAAATAGGAGTCAGAGGGGAACCAAATAGGAACCAAATGGGAATCCGTTGTTTAAATCGCTCGAGAAAGAAAGGGAGAACTTAGCGTAATGAGATACACCGAATACCCATAGCTGTCCACACAATCCGATCGTGACTCCCTAGATTTTCGGGATGAACAGGGTTATTTCCGAGATAATACAAAGATTCGACGAGGATGGGACACGCAACATGAGGATGAAGGAGCGTAAATCATGACTGATTTTTAGACATTGACATGCTTCAAAACATTTCAATTTTTCAGCGTGAAACTAATTGGATTCAGATTTGGCCTCCACTTTAAACAATTACTCCTTCGCGGAGTAATTGTTCGGAACTAAATTGAAAAGGACCAAAACCAGCTGGTTTGACCCTTTATCTAAAATCTTTATCTAAAATCCCAATCGGCTTTCTGGCGCGCTGACCTCCTTCCTATTCTCAGGAAACCAAGCCTTTCTAAAAAGTTGGAGAAACGAGTGCACCAGAACAGTTGCGTTTACAACTCAGGAGCATAAAGTACTTCTATGAAACTACAGAAAAAGCCAAGACCTTGTCATAATTGGATATCTAACGAGTTTTTGGAAAAGGGACGGAGAAACACTTTCTTGTTGATCGATTTTTCCGAGAAAATTCTGTTACCCATTCTCGATTTTCTTTTTGGAATCACAAAAGGAAATGACCTCGATTTGGGTTAAAAAGGGGGAAATTGGAAACGTTAATGCTTCATTAAAAAACGGAGATGGGCGGGAGTAACAAAAAATTATAAAAGGAAATAATTTGAAAACATTAATGCCTCATTAGTTCTTTCACTAGTTATTCTCTAATAACGACCAACTCTAATAACGCATTCCCTTTTCATTTTTTGTGATTGTGCATTTTATTTCATCTCTTTATTCATCTCAAACAGGCATTTATTCACAAATATTTCGATCGGCTCGACAATCGGCACCCTGAGCGGCCATGAATAGACGACCTGGAGTTTGAAATTTGAGCGGAGAAGGGTGATTGAATTAATTTATAACTAGATATGTATCTAATTAGGTATTCATTTTGGCTTGTGAATTGGTGATGAAACAATAGAAATGGCTGTAAACTCACCATTTGTACATACACACAATTGATTGTGTGGTTGTCCTCTTCCAAGAGATTTTGTCATCCCATTCATGTAGATATTTGATGAATCCAAGCGGATCTCTCCCTGAATATTTCTCTATTTCAGTGATTTTGTTTTCTTCCGTTCACTTGTTTACTGACAAGACTCAAATCGAGAAGACTTTGCAGATGAATTTCCCCGGCCGATGACAACATTTCGACGTCTTGTCCGGCCTCGATTGAAACCGAACGAGTCGGTGATTCCAATCTGAGAATGGGATGAGTTTAGATATAAGTCAAGAACCAAAGTATAGACCAGATCAGGCCTGGTCTGATCTCACGGGTCAAGAGCCCAATTTGCACATCTCCACACTTCAATCCAACCTCAACGGAGTGTCCGGTTCGGGTCGAATGAAAGCCGTCTGTATTGCTCCCTCGAAAACACTGCCTCCATCATCTAAATGTCAAAAAAAATATCTAAATTCCATATTTCTCACCAAGAATCCTCAAATTCTCCAGCTTCAAACCGATCTCATCCGAGTCGGCGAAAAACAAAAGCTTATTGTCCCGATCGAAAATCTCGAAACGCTCGCAAACGGCAGTGGCTCTGGAATTATTGATAAGAAATTCTTTTTTCAATACTAAGCTAAATCATTTCTGTTTTTACTTGACTGATTATTTGACTGTTTTCCTCACCTTCCCTCTGAATTGAGACTCAAGCGACTGGCCACTTGTCCGCTGAGATTTCTCGCCTAAAGTTTTATCTATGTAGCTATGAAAAGTGTTATCTTTTCTTACCTGAATATTGACTCCTCGAAAAGAATCGATCAACAAGGCTTCATCCTAAATTTGCATAAAATTCTAAGCTTACAAGCTGGAACTCATTGTCAGTACTGTACTGCTTTCATGTAGGATTTCAATTCAAAATTTCAATTTCCCGAACCCTGGCCGTTGACAGATGCGATAAATGAACGGGTCGATCGAATTGTGCCCTTCCTTTCACTCGAATCCCATCATTCTCAATTCGCAGCGCTCCCATTCCATCCTGAAATCTCATTGAAATTAAAGTTTCTATTTTCATCAACCTTCGAGAAATCGAGAACAGACATTATCCAAAGGGTGACGGCCAAATTGAGAACAATGAGAATGGTGAGAATGACGATGAATACATAAAGACAACGTTTGCGCCAACCGTAGATGCCAACTCTGAAAGGATTGTGTATGCTTCTCAGGAGTCGATAAACCTGTAAACATCGGCATCGCTCACCGGTTTGTGAGTCGAATGGACGACTGTTGTGTGATAGGGACTCATCTGAAATCATCTCATCTATTTTATTTCAAATAGCTCTCGGACAGTACCGTACTACATTAAAAGTACTATTGGACTAATTTATAATAATGCCATTTAAAATTTCAACTTTTTTACATGACTTACATTTCCACTTGGGTACGGATTTTGGTGGACATATTGAGTGCTCGCTTGGGGAGGGCCTAGATGAGATTAATAAATAGATATAAAAATTCTCTGATAAAAGTTATATGCCTAGAAGTTGGTTAGGTAGATAATATCTTTTATATAAAAATTCATTAGTTAAAAATTTTTACCAGCTGATTGTCCTCTTGTCCAAACGGGATCTTCGGAGACCCCGTAGACTGGATAACGACTCATTCAAGAGGGAAGAAGTTAATTAATAATAGCTGGATTAAAATACTTGATATAGAATGGGTATTGTTGGTCTAAAAGAAAGATGAGTGAAGATATTTGGGGTCAATGAAAGAAAAGGGAGGAAGAGAGGGGCCAAGTGAAAGGAAAGGGTTACTCCTTGTTGTAATGTGGCCTCGGAATGGTTGCCTCTATTTCTCTCTTTGCCTTTGTGCAGCTAGCCTTAAAAGATTTGAAAATGAAAGATCAAGACAATAAAATGGTGAGGGTTTTGATATTTCGATCGCAGTACAGTAGCAGTTTATGGTATGAAACTTTGCTACTGACAAGGGAAGGTCAACTGGATAGACTGGTCAAATGGCATGAGTCATAAACCATTCGACGCAGAATTTCACGCTGAACACGATACTGCTTTCCGCTTTTTCTATACGGCACTCTGTCAAAAGTTATACGGGTTTAAAGTTTTGTGAGGAGTTTCAAAAAAACAAACAAGACCTTAAAATCGGACTCTTCAGATACAGAATAAGTGCACGAGTGGTCAAATGGTAGCACTTTGGAATACAAGGCAAGTCCTTCAGTCCCGGGTTCGAATCCGTCAGCTAACTTTTTGTTTTGCGTTTTTAGGTTTAAATGGCTTGTGTTCTTCACTTCACCACTATTTTTTGCCAATTTTAATTTTTAATTTTTAACATACAAAATTTTCCATATCTGAAAATTTCGACAGAGTACCGTTTAGCAAAAGCGGAAAGCAGTATCGTGCTCAGCGTGAAATTTTGTGTCGAATGGTTTATGGCTCATGCCATTTGGCTATCCAGTTGACCGTCCCTTGTGAGAGCAAAGCTGACAGTCGACCACTTTGCTGGGTTCGAAATTTCTTGACCCTGGTATAATCTACTGAAGTTGAAAATCATATACATTGTTTTTCGGTTTGCCTACCAAAAAAAAGACAAAAAAAGAGCTAGTTGGACAAGTCTAGAGGTGTTCAAACCGGATCCTAGAGCCTGAAAGTCAAGTTGGGCCAAGCGCACCTATCCACTGCGCTTTTACCTGAATAAACTGGCCGTGGGATTTGGGATTGAGATATCCCCTTATCTAGATATCGGTCTATTAGGTTGAGTACTATGTGTTGGTATCCCTTGCTCATTATTTTTTTATTAGCGAGCTTTCTCCAAACAAAAATTGGATCACTAAAAATAAAAAGTGTGAAGTGTTTTATTTTTAGGTATTTTAAACCAAATTTTGGCCTGATATGGCACAAATTTGCAAGTAAATTCTCATTTCTCTTAAATTCTTAGAACAGAAAGATAAAGAAAATGGTGCGATGAATTCTTCTGAAAACTTGGCTATACTTCTAGCTTTTTATGTTCTATCTTTTTCTATTTACACCAAAATAGATTTTTGTAGAAGAAAGGGGTTAAATTGCATAACCGATTCTCTGTTAATCTTGACAACTCGCCTTCTCACCTCTTAAAATTTCTCAAAACAAGCGCTTTTTAAAACACTTGAGAAGCATTTTATAGAAAAAAGATAGGGCTTTTCAAGAAAATAAACCGTTTGTGTTTTAGTCGATTCACCGTTTCTAAGACGGTCAATGAAGATGGCATACCAACACATAGTACTCAACCTAATAGATTTGTCAGAAATCCTATCATCATCTTTTACAACAAAATTTTTCCCCGTAAACCAAAGAATTTCTGCTCATCTTCTGATTGCAAACTCTCTCTTTTCATCTTCTTTTTCCACTCCTCTCTTTTTTGGGATCAAATTAGATTCAAAAAATTGCTCGAGTTTTATCACAAAATTTTGGGAAAAAAACACGAGATCCGAGAAAACGTTTGGAAATATAAAAGCCAAAAGATTTTCCCGAATGACGAAGAGAAAAAGATGAATTCCGATCGAGTATTTCTCTATTTTATTTCATTGGTTTTATGTTTATGTTGCAATTTCCAATACGCCTTTTCGACGACTTTTCCCAACACAGCTGGCAAGGAAATTAAAAGGTTTGTGAGGAATCTCAACTTTAAGGTATAAAATAAACCAAAAAAAATGAAAGTTTAGTTAATTTGTCAAAGCGGAAATGAAAAGCCAAAAGGTTTCAATATATTAAATCTGAAACCAAAGCAATAGTGCGTCTGGAAAAGCTTATTATAGAGCAAAGGCATTGGGTCCTTAGGTGCAAAATGTTTTGACTTATTTAACGAATCACCCATCAAGAAATGATCCGAAGATTCAAGTCAATGAATCCATTTTTCTGTCATTACTGACCAGAAATCCCACTTGAAATGTGGCACTGGTGGTTTCGACAGAGAACCGAACTCGGACTGTTTTGAGTGAGAGAAATCGCGAGAGAGAGATTGCTAACCACTCGGCCAACACAAACACTGGCTCCGATGGGGAAATTGGGGTTTTGAACGGGGGGAGATCGTTGGGAAAACAAATGTTCGCCCAATATTTACTGTTTCACAGTAAATTCGACATAATATATGTAATATAATATCCATTTCCACTCTCAATTTCATCCTTTTAAATGGAATTGGAATAGAATGGAATAGAATTGAAAGGATGAGAGGAGATTCATTGTCATCCTGTCAGATTCATCTAAACTTTTCCATTTAGCCTTCTACAAGATGATGGTGGAGCTGAACTCTTTGGTTCATTCGATCTTTTTTGGAATGTTTATCTGAATCTTTGGTTTCTCGGCTTTTTCATCGGCCTCTGGAAAGCGAGATGGCTGACGGATACGAGAGGAAGGAAAAGTGAGTCAAACTGAACTGATGAGACCAGTGGAAGCGAAAAAACGTATTACCTATCGCATTACCGTAAACTTATTGCCGTATTACGTATTACCTATCGTATTACTAGCAACCTCGCTCTCACCTTAATAATGTTTATTTTAAACAGGCCTCAATTTCCCGAGAGGCAAGACTCTATTGAAGAAGTACTGTAGGTGACAAGGTTCAAATAAACTTTCGTGTCCGTCACTCCACAAATCAAACTCCATAATCCGTACATTCATTTGATCTCTCTGAATGCACTTTTTTTTCAAAAAACTTATCATTTTTCAAGGTGTTTCTGCAAGAATTCAATGCGTTTCCCCTTTTTTGAGATAAGCCTTACCAGGGGTATGTTCACAGTGTTTTCCTCGGCTTTTCTTCTCGAAGTACATTCGTTTGCTTGGGGTCATCGGGGGTCCATTCGGAAATAAAAACCAAAAAAGAGATAAGGAGCACAGTGGAGACAAAACCCGAGTTTGCCTGATCAGCTTACAGAGAGAGGCAGTGAAGAAGTAGTAAAAAGGGATATTTTGATTGTCTTTTACAAAACAGAAGGTTTATAGTTAATGCACTTTGTGCTCAATAATGTAAACATTGCATTTCTAGCGCATTCACTTCACTTTTCTCCATAGAAGTCTTTGTTTCTGTAAGGAAAATAAAATAGGGAGTGTTTTGATTATTTTTGAGCACAAAGCACATTACATGGTGAAAAACGTAACAATCTGAAGAACTGATTACTCAAAGTTCCAGGCGCTTTTGTGTGTGGTTGTATGTTGAACGTCCTGGGCAGTGGAATGAGATTTTTCTCGATTTGTCCTCATCCAATCCCTTCACTTTTCCTCCTTTCAAGACTCGTCAACGCGATCGCAACTGGCACAACATATCAAGCGCTGATATTGTACTTACAGGTTGGTGAGAGTTGAGAAAACGCTTTGAAATGAGCTTTTTCGTCGACACGTCGACTTGCTTTGCTTTACCAAGTACCGCAAATAATTCAATCTAAGCCAATCAGAACAAAACTTTCATAGCATTCAAGATCCTTTGCCTTACAGGAAGCCCCACCCTCAGCCTGCCGTGGTGCAATTTCTGTCCTCAATGGATTTACCTATTCATTTGTTTCCCTTCTTGGCATCACTCTTGGCAATCGTTCCCTTCTCGGTTCTCATCTTCCAATTCTTTCCGCGATACCCGTTATCGTTTGTTTGTTAGATTTAATTATCTAAGTTTATTCAAAACTTTTCAGGTTTCATCCTTTTCGTGGCGATATTTTTTATCCCAGAAACTCCAAAATATTTGGTTCTAAAGGGAAGATCGGAAGAAGCAAAACGATCAGTGCTATTCTTTCACGGGAAAACCGTTTCCCCGGATTTCACCGTGAAAGCTCTAGAAGTGGTAAACCAAAAAAGCGCGTGCCAATTTAGAAATGTAAATTCAGGAAGCTTCATCTTGTCAAAACGTCAAAATTCCGCTGATAGATTTCATTCGAAAGAAACATTTGAGAGTAGCCTTAGTTCTGTCGGTTATCGCTTTGCAGGTTGGTTTCCGCTTATACTGTATAACTGTGCCAGATACAAGTTCGTGCCACTTTTGGCTTTTACTTCTGGCTACCTCAAACTCATGATGTAGTGAGATTCCAACTGACACAAAAATCTTATTGTCAACTACTTCCAATTTCAGCAAACGGTCTCCCTGTGGCCGATTCTCATGTCTTCATCATTTCTTCTCAAAGAGATCGGTGTTAGCGAAGAGTTGGCTGAATGGGCCTCATCTGTGATGGCTCTTTCTTATGCCTTTGGCACATTGACAAGCGCTTTCATTATTGACAAGTAAGAGATCCAAAAGGAAATACCATATTTTAATCTTACTAAACAAACTAACAAACTTTGTATTATTCAGAGCCGGTCGTCGTCCCCTTTTGCTCACATCGACAATTTTCAACATTTTGGCCCTTATCGTCTATTCGATTCTCGCAATGTTCTCGAAAAGCGTCCTCGCTTTCAAATATGCGTGTCTTTTCTGTTTTGTCGTCTATGGATTCACTTATGGGTGAGTTGAAAAACACAAAAAAAAACATTATTCAAACAGTTGGGTTGATCGGATGAAACTGGATGTTTGATTACGATACGTTTCTAAAATAGGTGTCTTTTAGAAAACGCCTTATTTGAGACTCTAGTTTCGTCGCTAGGCGTAGACTAATCACATATACTGTCGATAAAGAGCAGTCTACCTTAATTTAAATCCATTCAAAACAGTCAGTCTGCGCAACTTCAAAACAAAATCTGATCTTGAATTTCAGTTCGGGTGTCGGCCCGATTGGTCGTTTCATTTCGACGGAACTCACTCGAATCGAGGTCCGTTCTTCGATGTGTACTGTCACCTATTCTCTCAATACGATCTCCAATATTTGTACTTCTTTTGCCTTCATTCCCCTTTTTACTCTAATCGGTCCTTCCGCTTTTCTTCTTCTTTATGCTTTCCCATCAATTGCTTGTTGCCTTATTCTGTACTTTTATTTGCCCGAAACAAAAGGTCGCAATATAGATGACATCATCGAACGCCTAGGAAATATTAACTTTTGCGGAGTTTCAAATTCTAAAATCTCCCCACATCCCTCAATTTCCCATTGCGATTTTGAAACCTCCAAATCTGACGTATGTTAATGATCTCCAAATATTTAAATATTTTTTCTTGCACATAATTATAATATTTATTTTCCACATAAAGTGTACAAATACAAAACAAACAAATCAAAAGCAAACACAACAAACAAAACTAGCAATAATCTAGAAAAACTTTACCCTAGCATTTTTTTTTTCTTTTGTCGCTTAGCCTCCTCTTTGAGTTTCCTCATCGCTTCTCTAACCTTTAATCGGATTGCACGCAGATCCACATATGGCATCTCATCAATTGGAAGAGTCTGAAATTAAAAAAATTTGATCGTTAAGTAAAACTCTTATAATCATAAAATCAAGCTTCAACATGAGATCAAAACTTGCCTTTAGATTATTCATCATTCATACTACTGTTTATATTGTTTACAATAAAAATCTACCTTAACAAATTTGTCGAGCGCATTAACTTTTGCTCCATTTGCCAGTAGTCGATTCAACTCTTCTCGATGATGCTCTGATTTCATTCTAAAATTTAACTCAAAACAAAAAAAACTACAGAGCTAACCTAGCTTCTACAACTTTTTCTCCAGTTACCGCAACAATCCGTCGTGCTCCTTTTCCCAATGAAAGATCGGATATGATTGTGAAGTCTAGAATGTCGTTCGTTGACGTCACGTGTCTAAAATTTTATTTTGTAAACTGTAGACATTTTTTTCATTGAAAGCTTACGTTCCACAACAAGTTTCGCCAGCTATTGGCATATTCCCATCATCGTCGAGCACATTAACAACCCGCACTTTCGGCGGATAGGTTTTTCCCTGAAATATTTAAATTATTTAAAGCAACAAAATCTATTACTTCACGAAATTGGCTTTGCAAATGTGTCATCTTCCTCGCTGAGTCCAAATCAACCTCGTTTATTTGTATCTTCATTCCTTTCTTTATAATGTTTTGCACAAACGATTCCACTATAAGCACCTAAAGAAAAGTTTAAAGAATTCATGATATTAAAGTAGGTAATCACTTACACTATCTTCTTCGGATGCACATTCACCGGGTGAATATTCAAAACTAAACAACTATTTTATAAAACAAAGAAGATAAATCCTAACCGCAATTGATCTGGATGAACTCCACTTCCCGTTTGTCCACATCCAACACTTGTTCTCTGAAGCGCCCAATTCAGAAGATGAGTGGCAGAATGAGCTCGCATCAAAGCTGATCTTCTTTCCTAAAGTTCAATAAATTGAATAATGCTATATTTCACATTTAATCTTTCAGTAGGCAAACAACGTTCAAGATTTCCCAACCTTATCAACAAATTGTTGAACGGTATCTTGTACTGAAATGCTTCCATCTAGTGTACATCCATTTAAAACACTAATGCCGTTTATCTAAATTTTGTTAACAAAATCAAAATTATTGTCAAACCTTCGTACATTCGCTAACTTCAAATTTTGCATCTTTACCAAACGTTTTTATCAATCCGTGATCTCCGGCCTAAGTTTAGTCTGATTGTTAAAAACAAACAAATTATTTCACCTGTCCACCCTCAAACGCAAAGAATTGTGAATTTTCAAGCACCAAGTAGCCATACCCATTCAAGTCGTCAGTCGGATTCCCAGAAGCATCAAAAAGACGCAAAACTCTTGTTGAAAGCTGAAATCGACTTATTATTTAGTCAATAGAATATTTCAAACATTTTCATCCAATCGATATTTTTCCGCATCAGAATGAGTTGGGCATTCCTCAATACTTACGTTCAGCTTTGATTGGAATGTCGGATCGTTCCCGGTCTAAAATTTTCAATAATTTATTACATTCTTTGCAAAGCTTACCTCTTTTTGTAGCTTTGCCAAACGATCGAATTCTTCTTTATCCAGCGTCAATCCTTTGCTTTGGGCAAATGCTTCCGACATATCTTCTGTTACGCCTATAATATACATTAACAATTATTTCATGCTTAAAGCATACCTTGTGATTTCAATTTCATGATCAAAGCTCCAGGGATTGTTCGAGCGTCTTTTGGTAACTTTGAAACAGCATCATCAAATTTTGCACGACCACCTTTCATGATTTCCCAATACCTAAATCAGTTACCTGCTTGGTAAAAGTTTGTCATATAAACAAATATTGCATAAAAAACATACCAATTCTCCTCTTCATTCAACGAATATTGCATCCATTCAATCTGAGTTACAAGTCCAGGATAAGCATCTTTTAATGTGTCTACAACAATTGGTACGACTTCTTGCAGCATTCCTTTGGTGATTCCAAGGTGAACTGCATGACGAAAGGCTCGACGCAAAATCATTCGAATTTGTCGCCTAAACAGAAAAGCCCATAATTTTGTCGAAAATTTTTTACCCGGCATCAGTCTGGCCTGGTTGAGCTCCATCTGAATAAGCAATGACGAATGTTCGCAAATGATCAGCAATAATTCGTTGTGACATCATTTTGTTTCTCCAATTGTCAGCGTTGGATATCTAAAACAAAGTAAGATGCGGACGCGATAAACGAATCGTGAAAATATCTATAAACCTCCATAAAAATATAACCTTTTGAATATGTCGAATAATCGGTGTAAACACATCAATCTCGTAATTGCTCGACACATTTTGAACAATAGATGCGAGCCTTTCTAATCCCATTCCAGTGTCAATGTGAAACGATGCAAGATCACTCAGTACCCCGTTCGGATTTCTGCAAAAGATGCAAATTTTAGCCATACATTTGAACTCACCTTTTGTACATCATGAATACAAGGTTCCAAATTTCCACCACCGAATCATCCCTATTTACCAAATGCGAAGCATTTCGGCCTAAGAAATAAAAGTGAATTGCCTCAAAAAAAATACCCACCTCCAATTCGATCGTAGTGAATTTCTGTACACGGTCCACAAGGCCCGACTTTGCCCATCTCCCAAAAGTTTTCTGATGTGAAAGGGAGAATTTTGTCCGCGGGTAACCTAAAAAATATAATAAACATTGCTCGTTTTAAATCTCGGATCAATGAAAGTATTACTGCAAAGTAAATATTCTTAAACTATCTATTTTATTTGATTCAAGACAACCGTAAATACTCTTTAGACACATACCCGATTTCGGCCCATATCTTTTGACATTCCAGGTCAGGTCCAATGCCCATCATTCGATCACCACCAAAATATGATACGTAAAGTCGATTGGGGTCGAGTTGCATTCTTTCAACGAGAAATTTCCACGAATATTCACATGCCACTTTCTTAAAAATAAAACATACCACATCACATATTTGCCGAGAAATTACCTTGTCATAGGCTCCATTAAACGCCCAATTCCCGAGCATTTCAAAAAACGTCTGGTGATGAGCATCTTTTCCTACGTCATCTAAAGGAAAACATAACACTTTTTAAAATTGAAACTTGACACAAACCCAAATCATTATGTTTCCCAGAAACTCTGATGCACTTCTGATAGTTGACAACTTTGTTCAAGTGACTCCGTCTCTCGTCGCTATTTCCAAGAATTGTAGATTTGAACTAGAAAACATTATGCAAGCAAAGTTCAAAAAGCGAACTTGATTCATTCCAGAGTTCACAAATAATAGAGATCGATCATCGTCGTTGGGCAAAACAGAACTCGATGGCATGTGAATGTGATCGCGTTCCTAAACTTTGAAATTAGACTTGTCTCCATACACAGCTTCAATACCTCGAAGAACTTGATGAATTCTCGCCGAACCGCTGAAGTGGACTGATGAAAGCGCTAAAAATGATAAATTTTAAATTTAAATGTTAACCAACCGATTCGAGAAGACATTTTATCCGTCCACGCATAAGCATCTAGCATCTAACTTTGAACTCTGGAAATAAGGAAAGATTATACGGTTTGGTAAAAAGAAAGAATTTTCAATCACAATAGTTAAAAAGCTTATTTACCAGCCAAATGCAAAAGAAATGAAAATTAGATTATGAGAGTTACTCGCGCAACTATGACGCGAGACAAAACAAGTTAGTGCAATTTAAAAAACAGGTTTCTGGGGAGTATAAATCTCTAGGTATCTTCCCAAAAATTTTCCTGCAAAAAGACGAGCACGTTGGTGACAATATGACAATATGGAAGTAGGTATAGTGTGTTTGACAAAAAAGGAGAAATTTATCCGAAAATCAATCACAATAACTTAAAAAGCTCGTTCACTCGCCAAATACATGAAGCCCTGCCCCAAATACATTAAAGCTTTTCGTAAAACAAAGATCATCGGATCTCTTCGCCCAAAAAGGTTGCAAATGTAGAGCACGTCGGCGACAACGGCACACAAACTGCCAATTAAACGGATCAAACTCAACTGGAAATTAGTTGTTTCAAAGAGTGTATTTTGAGTGTGTACCGTTTTTGAGTCATCCATTTCTCCCTTTCCCCCATAATGTAATAGGGAGCCGGCCAACGCGGTGAGAACCAACGACGAGATCAACAATGAGGAAAGTATTAGAACCTGAAAAGGGGTACGGTAGTTGTTCGATAAAGCGCCTTCTATTTTACGATCAATGGCACCGTTATTTTGAATAGCTACGGTAACCAGTTAAGCATTCTCATACTCACAAGAAACGGAATTGAGATGAAAACATCGGAGAAAAGCCAGGCAAATGTTAACACAAATGCAACCGTTGAAAGAAGCAGAAGAGGTACAGACCTAAACGTTTGGATTTTTATTTTGATGTCCATATTCCGACCATTCTTTCAGATGAGGTAATAGAGATAAAATATAGAGAACGTGTGAGATCATTAACAAGAAGGCAGCAACTCCAAAATAGAGATGCGCCTCGAAGAAGTAATTCCCGAATGCTAAACTGAGACTCATATGAAAGTAGTCGTATTATCACCAAGGGCAATAAAAGAGCCGGCCATCGGATACTTGACTCGATTGTTGATATTTGTAGAGATCGTCAAAATCGGTAGCACAATATACGGAAGTGATCCGAAGAATGGCGACGGCGAGCGAAAGCCATGAGTCTCGAGGTAAACCTGGAGGGCAGACGTTAAACTATACTTACAAACCGACCAAAAACGCCGTTCCTCCATAAATTGCCAATCCTCGAGCGGGAGAGGAAGACATTTCAAAAGAAATTTAGAGAAATTCCCGATCAAATCAATAGACACGAAATTGGTGTCAACAAAACAAATGCTTATTGATGGGAAAGAACCCCTCTTTTTTGGCTCGAAAATCCCGTAAACAACCCCTGCCCCTCCCCTCTCTGCACTGAGCTGTACTCGGAGAAAAACAACCAAAACAACCAACGATCAAAAAAACGAAAAATTTTGCAACTTTTGCCTGAATAGCCTTAATTCGCTCATCTACCAAATTTTCTTGATATTTTTTGGAAATTTAAACGCAACAGAATTCTAAAAAGTCAACGAACTATTTATTTACATTGTGAGCGATGCAAAACAAAAAAAGCGATATAATCAAAATAATTTATGAGATTTTCTTTCTTGGTTTCGCAACGGAGAGCTCGGCAACCTCGCAATCAATTTGTCCCTTTAGGATGAGGAATTGCGCGCCATAATACGTGCCTGAACAAAAGGCTCAGTAGTGCATTTTTAGTATGAGGAACTTTGTAACATCTAAATCAAATTAGTTTACCTAGAATCAACACCTCACTAAGTGGCACAGGATAACCGACATGGTCAAAGATTAACAAATTGTCCGATGCGTAGAATAGGGCAAATCCGATGAAGCGATACCATAAAGCCTAAAACATTGCTCGTAACTAAAGCCAAAAAAATTTAACCTCATGACCAGCTTGAAGTTTATTATTTCCAAGGGCATACTGTGAATACGAGAGAATGAAGCATGCGGTCAGAAGAAGAGAGTAGATAATCATGATGGCAACGGGAATTGGATGCTCCTAAAGCAAGTCTTTAAAAGTGACAAAACAAATAAACTTGAAACATGGGCATGAGGCACAGTTGATTGGCAATCAATCCCCAAACGGCGGCTCCGATCAACATTGATGGTGCTATTTTGAAAGATCCAGGAACAAAGAGTGACTAAAAAGAATTAATATACTATTTAGGGGATTTAACTAAAAGATGGGTACCTTTCAAGCAAGAAACAGTGCCTGACTAGGGAACTACACCAACCCGGCACGCCCTTTTAACATTCCAAGAGAGATACGTGTTTTTTATTTCACTTCATGGTATACAGTTTTTGAGAAAAACGGGTTCAAAGTTTGGGCACTTTTTGGAAATTCCTTCATCGTCAAAAAGGTGATACAGTGGTCCACATATGTATTGTCCCATTGCCATCCAAAAGTTTCTTTCGTACGAAAATCTTGCAAAATAACGATATTCCCAAAAAGTGTAGGGTATTTTGCTTACCCATAATACTCTACTTTTCAGGATTATAAGATTTATCCGTATACATTGCAGAAAAATGAAAGTATAAAACAAAAACAATAAGTTACTTAATAAATAGCTCCACAAAAGTAATGTCCCATTGATGTTTTCCTTGATTATTCTTTTTATTTTCGCGTTCTATGAACATTAAATGTATTTTATTTCATTATTTAGATGGCTGGCAAGAAAAATCTTGACACTCCGAATCGCCAAGGCCCGGGAAAATGGAATGCGGGAAAAGGATGTGACCAACCCCTTCAATTGCTCGAGAAGGACGGTGCGCCGCATTCTTTCTCCATCAAAAGTCGACCGAAACCTTCATCGAGGCCTCAAGAGTGGCCGACGACCAATCACAACCACAAAAGAAGATCGAGCCATGATCCAAATGGTGAAAAACGATCCTAACAAAACACCAACCGATGGAAGCCAAATGATGAGGGGTCAATTTAACAAGATCGTGTCGCCGGAAACGATTAGACGACGATTAAATCAAGCTGGATTATATGCAAGAAGGGCTGCCCGTAAACCTCTGATAAAATCTAAGCACCGGAAGCAGCGCCTTGACTTTGCACGGACCTACCGAAGTTGGACGACACGTGATTGGGCGAAAATGTTATTTACCGATGAGACAAAAATCAATTTATTTCACGCGGATGGAAACCATCTTATTCGGCGACCGACTGGAAAGCGATACGCACTCAAGTACATTCGGCCTACCGTGAAATTCAACGGCGGAAACATAATGTGTTGGGGTAAGAACCTTTTTAGTATTTTGTTACCTAAATTTTTTTCTTTAGGAGCGATGTCTCGAACTTCAGTAGGTCCGTTAGTCTACGTGAACTCGACGATGAATGCTGCGGCTTACAAGAATATTATGGAGACCCAAATGCTTCCCTTTGCCAATCAAACGATGCCTCCCCGATGGATGCTTCACCAGGACAACGACCCGAAACACAAGTCGAGACTGATGATGGGACGGTTGGTGACACTTCAAAATGGTACCAGAGCTCGTCTGCCCGGATGGTTTGCGGAAAATCGTGTTAAATTGATCAATTGATCAATCCACTCACCGGATCTCGATCCAATTGAACATTTGTGGTCATTTGTGAAGTCGCGCCTCAAGGGAAAGAAATTCGATTCGAAAGCCGCCTCATGGGTTGACATTCAACGTCTTTGGGCCACCATCCGCCCAAGTCTTTTGAAAAATCTCGTGGATTCCATGCCGGATCGACTCAATGAAGCGACAAAAGCAAAAGGAGGACCAGGCGAATATTAATTTTTTGAAAAAATTGTTAATTCTTTGCAAATGGGACATTACTTTTGTGGAGCTATTTATTAAGTAACTTATTGTTTTTGTTTTATACTTTAATTTTTCTGCAGTGTATACGGATAAATCTTATAATCCTGAAAAGTAGAGTATTATGGGTAAGCAAAATACCCTACACTTTTTGGGAATATCGTTATTTTGCAAGATTTTCGTACGAAAGAAACTTTTGGATGGCAATGGGACAATACATTTGTGGACCACTGTAGCTAAAAATTACTTTAAGTCTTCTTTTGACACTTTCAGAAGCCCTTATTAGTGTCCGTAGACACTATATAACATTTAAAAATGGGTTTTTGCAGTTTAACAAAAAAGCAAAAAAGAATTGACGGTGAAGGGATTCGAACCAGAGACAAAAAGCGGGTAGGGCGAGCGCACTATCCGCTATGCCACCCAGTTGCTTTCTGAGGCTCCGTTTTTCCAAAAAGTGCCCAAACTTTCAACCCGTTTTTCTCAAAAACTGTATGCCATGAAGTAGAAATAAAAAACACCTATCTCTTGGAATGTTAAAAGGGGGTGCCGAGTTGGTGTAGTTCCCTAGTAAGCTTCTTTTTAAAGCTAACTTTTAAGAAGGCAACAAAACTGACCATGTAAAAAAGATGCCCGATCCCAAAGGCAATCGCTCCTACGACAATTCCCTCTTTCGAATTTCCAATCAACCAGTCTCCAATTCCGCCAAAAACTAAAAAAAAAGGTTCTTTGGTTGACAAAGTTTAAGGTTTGTACCAATTCCTAGTGCATGAAGACGTCTCGAACGTTCATTGAGTCCGGCTCCATGAAAGTAGGTGAATAGCGCTAAGGCTACAATCGGTGTCAACTTCCTTAAATTTGTCATCAGTACATGATTACTAAATATTTATAAAACTCATTACTACTATACTTCTGAAGTGCCGCCCCCCAAGTGTCCCCAAAAAGTGTCTCCATAAAGTGTTCCCATATGGGGACACTTTTTAATACTGAAATGCTTCGTTTTCTTTTTTCTCTCGAGCTTTTTTAATATTCTGTGATAGACGAAATTGTTTAAACTCTTCATAATTAAATTTTCTCTATCACAGAATTAAAAAAAAACACTTTTCGGGGATACTTGGGGGCGGTACTTCAAAAGTATAATTACTACGATAATTAATAGTGAGTGCAAAACTAAACCTAGGTAATTAACGTTTTTTGCAGCAAATAGTTAAAACAACAAATAAAAACGTCACGACAGATAACTTGCAGTAGATTTAAATAAGTCGAACCCGACAAGCAACTTACATGAGTTTCCTAAAAAGCAGAAGATTTACAAAGCAAGCACTGATAGTTAAACCTATTTTTAATTAAGGAATGTTTTTTAAAACGTTAGATGAGCTAATAAAATGAGACAGTTTTTGAAAAGATTATATGATTTTATTTCCTTATAGAACACCCAAAAATTTTTAAGTCATGAGCCTTAAAGAATCTTGCACTTGATATAAAGTTAACCAACCATAGACAATAACGATCATCGTAAAACTTGACAAAACCATTGCTTTGATAGCAAAAGTTTCCGACGAGTAGAGCGTAGAGCAATCCAAACTCGAACAATCCGTCGCGCATCTAAATGAAAAGTACTAAACCAATCACAAAATGTTGAGTTCCAAGAGTAAAAAGGCTGAAAAGAGAGATACCGCTTTGTACTTTCCCACTAATTACTCAAAATTGAGTGGAATTTTGTATGCTCCTATAGCAACGTAGCTAGAAAAACGTGATACAATAATTGGTTTTCCAAAACAAATAACCACAAATAGACCGTTTTGTGCGTCGACAAGTTTGGGAAAAGAACGCGGTTATTTGATTTGAAAATGAGACCATTTTAGTTATGACAAAAACTAAAATGGATCAGTGGGTTCAGTTTGAAACACACGTCTACTTCTACTAGCACAAAAATACATCAAAGATTTAATCGAATGCTTTGTAGCGATCTTTTGCTGATAAGGAGTCGATTTTTTTCTGCAAGCAGGGGCAAAGTCGAGTCTAGTCTAGCAGCTCGCAAATTTTACCTCATCTTTCCATAGAAGCATCTTCTTTTTAAATAAAGTTCCGTCAAATACGTCAAATGAGATCATTTGAGGTCAGCTGATATCTTGAGGGGATATGTGAGAAAAGCAAAGGGAGAAAATGACTGGGTGGCGTGGGTCAATCTCACAGGGCGTGGTAAACAAAGAGTGTGATGATCGAGTAGACTTTTGAGAAGCAGAGATTATATAAGTGAGGTGAAAAGTACGACGACTCTTTTAGCTGTACTCGTGCTCATAATCAAAAAGTGCTTAAAAACAATTCAATAAATTTTTTTGATGGTTTCTGAATAAATACCTGTCATTTTAGTGATTGTTGAAGCCCTCCGGAAGTTGATGCTAAATATTTAACCTTTAGACAGTGGTCAAGCTGAGCCGAGAGTTTGCTTTGTTAATTAAAACCATGACACCAAATTTTTCCGATTAGGTATCCAAACTTCGACTAACAAAAATATCGAATGACTGCAGCAAAAATTTTTAATGATTAAAAATATTTATCGCAAAACCTAAAACACTAGGACTAAAGCACAAAAGCAAGAATATGGAGAGGTTTGAAGGATTTCTGAATAAGTACTATAGGGAAATCACATAAATCTCAAAATATCGCGTAACGAGAAATTGTATAATGGGAAGAAAATTGATCTTACATTAAAACAACTGAATTAAATACAATACATGTACCTGTGTCGTTTCATTGGCGGCTAATTTCCTTTGAGTACCTCTTGTCGGAAATTGCCAACACACTGTTCGTAAGATCCAACAAGGTTTGAACACTTGAGTAGACGGTTCGGGTTCGCTTTCAGACAAGACATGATTTCCTAAACAACAACATTGTTCAAACTTTTAGCAACACCCAGCATTTAAAAAGACACTTGAGTGTTTGCCTTAGCTAGTAAGAAAAGACGCGAAGTTAAAAGCTAGAACTTGAACCTTAACTAAAGGTGCACATAAAACTTACAGTTTCATTATCAGCACAAACATTTTCCCTTCGGTAGTTGAAAAATTGCTTCTCAACCCTAAAAAACAGTAAGCTTTAAGAAAATAAAAAATCCAACCTTTCCACGGTTTCATCAAAAATTCGTTTGCGTTCCTCGACATCTCCTCCCAAGACAACGGCTCTAAAAGCAAAGAATGTATTTCCAATATAAATTCCTGGTCAAATCATTTTTTTATTAAAATGAATTTCTTTTAAAGCTTTAAATGCAAGCCGTTAAAGACTATACTTTCCTAATAACACTTCCATGTTAAAATGAAATCTATCGCAGACTTAAACTTACCCAGAATTTTCCGTTTTCACTCGTTGTTGTAAGTCGGTGAGTTGGCGCATTTCGCTGACTTCATTACGCAAGCGTACCTTCTCTCCTCGCTCTCGTTCCAACTCAGCCCTAAAATAAAAATTATACTTTCTAACCAAAACTAAAATACCAATAAATCTTACCTCAGCTTCTCGACATCAATATCGGCAGCAATACCAGCTCCAGCCGGGGCTCCAGTGCGGACGTGGGCATTTACACGGTTGATCACAGCTCCAGAAACGCCAACCTAAACTTTAAATTAAACTTGATCATAATCATCTCTTATTTATCATCAACCCTTTCAAACATAAACCGAGCTTTTAGTTTTAAAAGATAAAGTGATACTAGCAGCACGAAATCTTTGTTGATTAACTATCAAGCAAGTTTGCATCTAGTTTCATGTAAGTTGCTTACAAACCGTGTAAATGAAAGAATTTAGCACTTATGCAATTGCCTGCTCAGAGGACCGCTAAGATTTTAATAAGCAAGGTGAAATTTATAGAATTTGATTCTTTATTAAAAAGCAAGCATTATATCGAACTTTTACATTCTAAAAAATGTCTTTCAAATGAAACACTACAAAAAATCTTACCGCCTTGTACTCTTCGGGTATTTCTTCTCGATTGATCCTCACGACTTGCGGCGTCGTTTGTGATGGTGCCTCGGACGGTTGGCTTTGTGAAGAACCCATGAGCTAAAAAGATAAAATTAGTAAAAGGACTTGGAGTTTAAAAAGTTAAGAAACGAGAAGAACAATGAACACAGCAGCCTGTAATGAACAATGAACACATGATTTCTGTACGAATAACGCGGTCTACAGCTTCGAAATGATGCCAATAAAAAGGTTATAAAAGTAGGTTAGGACCTGTTTTTCGGCAAATTGCCCGTATTCGAGTTTTTACTAAAAAGTTATCAATCAATAAAATTAATCGAAAAGTTGTACAAGTATTCCTAATCGATTCAGCATAGTCAAAAACTCCTGTGTGCAAGTTTTCGTGGAAAAATATTGATTTTGGGTCCAATTCCAGACTGCCCTCTCAACTACTCTAGTCTCCCGATTTCTAATTACTGTACTTCTAACAAGTTTAAACGTAAAAAAATTACTATGACGTTGTAAATTTAGTGTTTCACTTTCAAAGTTGACATTTTGCACAAAATAAATTGTTCAGCTGTCAAAAACCCTTCCTTTCGCACTGTTGTTTGGCCGTTGTTGTTGGCATTTAGTTCTGTTTTTGCAAAAAAGAGGGATAGGTAATCAAAAAACCGGAGAAATGTTGCTTATTCACTAAAAGAATTGTATTTACTCAAAGAAATTTTGATATATGCGGTTTTTTAACTGAATAGTCTTTCAGTTTCAATAATTTGCGCATGTATGCAAATTTTTCTAGTTACTCATCTTTTAGAATGGTTATTTTACATTTTCAAAACACGCAACCGAGGGATTCCAAAAAAGGTGGAAACCAATTTAAATTTAAAAATGCTATGTAGCACCGGCATCAGAAAGCCTAAACGGTTTACAGATTAAATAAAATCATCGGGTCTGTCCTTAATTTGCTTGGCAACAAAGTTAGCGCCTAATGAAAAGCGCCGGTACCGTTTTGTCCAACCTTGCTACCATACTCATTTCAATTTTGCACTAAATTTTATCAATAATCGAATCCATTTGTACTGACAAAGCACCCAGGTAACCAAAGTATAGATCGCTTCTGACTATGAGAATCCTGATGATCAAGCGTCATCCACATTTTCTGGAAAAGCATTTTCCCGGTGACTCAAATCTCATAAACATTGTAAAAGCGTTAAACGATGCCAAAAATGGGATCACCTGCGCGTTTTCCCCTTGTCAATATTCGATTCTCAAATATGAGCCATTTCCCTGAAAAAAGATCCACACCAAATACCGTGTGACCCACCGTTTATAAAGAAGGTCTAATCTAACCTTTTTGACAGATTCGAAAGATGTTACTGAAATGCTTTATGCTCGTTTTCTTCTTTGCTATCCAAGGTGAAGCGAAATTTGGTGGAAGTCACTCGAAAGGTAATTTGGAAAGTTCATTTTGGATTACTAAAGCTAACATTTAAGTATAATAGATAAAATAGAGTTGGGATTTTGGACAAAACCGGTTTTGGGATTTCCACTTTGAAACAGAAGCCGATAATATTGATTTTCGAAGCCGAAACCTCAACACTGACACCGATTGTGATTCCTAACTGAATTTCTTGAGAATCGAGTGCTTCAGTTTATCTTGAAAAGTACTACTGAATTTTCATTTTTACAGTAGCAATTCTCACATTAGCTTCAACACGGTCTGAACCTTCCAAACAAAATCTCAATTTTCAGAAAACCATGGATTTCCACCATCAATCTTCCCATTCCTCAAAAATACAACCGCTGAGCAAAAGAAAGATTTCTACACAATCATCGCCAACACAACCGCCACAAAAGGCGAGAAGAAAACCGCAGCCGATAATTGGGCTCAAAATATTGGCGGAGATGTGCAAGTAGGGGACAAAGCTAAGTCAGATAACATGTAATTTTAGACTTCATACACCGAATTCCAAGCAAATCTCTCGAAAATCCAAACCGAGACTCGAGCGAATGTCTCGCGAATCATCAGTGAATTGCCGAATGAATTGACCGAAGTGTACAAGATTCTCGACGATCAGACAGTCACTGAGAAACAAGAGATTGAGAATTTGATTGTAGGGTTTTGCAAAAGGCAAATCACTGTCGAAATCTAGAAATTCTACAACTCGATCGCTGATCCGGAAATGAAATCGGCTCTTCAATTCATTCTTGCGCCTCGTTTCCCGCTTGGTCCTCGTGGGCCACATGGTGGGAAAATGCACTGGTTTCCAAGTAGGCGACTTCAAATGAAACTCAAAGAAATGGGAAATAGAATTAGAATTCGATAGATTTCAGAAAGTAAAACCTCAAGTTATTCAGCTTCAGCAAGGGTTCCTCAGCAATTGTAAACAAAAGCCTACAGTATTGAATTCATGTTGACCAGACTTGACCACATTCACCAACTTTAGCTCAATGGATCCAGTATTCACTTGTATTATGCAAATTTAGGCAAGAAACATCGCCGTCAGTGAAAGAATTGTGCCAGTCTCGTGAACTTCAAAGCAAATTCTTGCTGAAGAGCCAACAATTTTTCACAATATACACCCAATAAACTTATTTGCATTCATTATGAAAATCATTCTATCAGCCCAAACTTTTCCTTAACCATTCGGCGAAAAGGAATAACATCTAAACCATGAAACCATCTAAACCTTCCCATACTCGAACACAATAGAAATGAGGTCTTCTTTTGTGTCGATAAAAGAAAAAGATCAAAAGAGCCGCTTTTTTTGGGCGATCATTCCATTCACATAACCCATATGTATTCCCGGACAATGTCTTCTTTTTTGGTTTCCCTTTCTCGATCAAAATAATCCACATTAGTTCATTCTTTCAAAGTTTCACACCAAATGCACAATATCTTTAAGCTGACTATTTAGAAAGCGTTTCACTACAATCCGTCCGGACACTTTCAGTTTATTCAGGTTATAGAGGTTGAATTTTTCGGTGAATTTCAATCTCTTTTAGAAAATTTCCGCAAAACTACAAGCAGTTCAAATTCTTTTTTTTCTTCACCAAAATACTCTCTTTTTTTCTTAAAATTCGAAACAAAAATTGGCCCAATCATTGTCTGAAGACTAGTCTCCACAAAAACAAAGCAGCCGACATTCGAATGAAAAACAATTTCTGGCACTGTTTCAAGTACACTTGAGAGTTCTCTTAAGCTTTCTAAGTAATTTTCAAAAGCTACCTTCTCGCCACCAACCTATATACTTACGTTTGTTTTGTAACTGTTAAACCTCATGAAAGATATAGAAAAATTCAAAAGGTCGAATAAAGCTAGAGATAAGATTACGGTAATTCGCAAAAGTGGACACGCTTAGAAAGCACTTTCCGATAACAATTTGGTAACGAAATGTTGTCTTCAAAACTTTTGATCACATTATGCTTTGTGAGGAAGTTTACAGCTCACTCACCGGGTCATTCTTCTCTTTTCGCTTTTCTGATATGCAAATAGGAAAAAGGCTATCAATGAATGGGACGGTTAAAGAGAAAGAGACAAAGAAATTTGCATGAATCCTTTCTTTTCCAATTCTCCTCTCTTTCCAATCTCTCCTCCATCCTATCAAAACAGTTCCCTTTTCTACTTCCTCCATTTCTTCTTCCAAATCACCAAATCCCTCAAGCACTTTATGGCCTCTTTTCCAATATCAATCTCACCTCTTGATAATTAACGGTCGCTCGACCTTTTTGATCCCTTTGATCACTTCGATATCTCGGCTTTTTTCCGGGTCATCGAGCTTACGGTAGAAAGTTTTAGAGAGCTTTTTATCATAGTGGACACAACAATATTTGATTTGAGAAGTCATAACCAATAGACTTCTCCATCATTTACTCAAAATCTCAGTTTTTCTAATCAACTAGAAGCCAAAAAAATTCTCAATTGGAATTTCATTGATTATTCATCGTGTTTTTGTTTTGGTTATGGAATGGGGAAAAATATGAGAGAGAGGAGGTGATTTTCACGCGCGAAAAGAGAGTGTGAATGTGAGATTTCGAAATTGTTTCGTGAATGTGTTTCCTTGAAATGAAGAGAGAAAAGGGGAGTCACTCCCTCCTCGGGGTATCCCTCTTCATGACCCGTTTTGTCCTTCTGTTTTTAAACCCAATTTAAAGGTTGAACCCTAACTTGTCTTAACAAACCCTGCACCTTTAATCTGACGAAGAAAATCTTTGAGCCGAGCGATTCGTGACAAGCTTATGGTAATTCTCAAAACTTGGCACGTTTTAGAAAACGATTAAAGCTATAGAAGCAATGAGAAGATCATTCTTCATCGATTTGTGATCATCCGCTTCATTTACTCCTTTTTCTCTTTTTTCTAAATCCCAGTGAACCTCGTTGATAAACTAATAGTAAAATTCGAGAAACTTGGCCTACTGACTAGTTCAAATATTTTTCGAAGGATTCTACTACCAACAAACGAGCTACTAACGAGATTTTACCGTAAAATTATATCGGTAAATTTAAACCCAAAGCCTGGGTCTCTTCTTCCCTTCACCACATCGCTCCATTTGTGGACACACTCTGTCTCCATCTTCTTTTCCCATCTCTCATTTCCCCATATTCCATGTCTCTCCTCTCTTTCCCCTTTTCCCCACATCGGGTTGGCACTCGGCCAGTTCCCGTACGTCCCCTCCTTTTCTTTCCTTTTACACCCTCACTTTTTAAATCCTTTGTTCAAAGTTGATAGATTTGTTTTCGTTGTCACAAAATGTTAACAAATAGGCCTTAAAGGGATTTTAACTTCCTGCAGTTTTCAACTATTTCTAAAGTCTTTCACAATACCAAAACTCTCCAAGCTTCCATGCACTTTATTATAAATCTTCTCGTTCTTACGAATTCGTTTACCTAAAGTTTTTAGAAACTAAAAGTTTATTCACTTCGTCAAGCCTCTCAATTGTTTCTTAACCAGATTGTTCAAGAAATCAAGGCCAAGAACATTTGCTTAAAGTTCATTTTAAACATTTGACATTGTTCTATTGATGCAACAAGCTATACAATCCTGAAAGTGAGCCTGAGCAAGAGTCTTGCAAAATGTGCCCAATTTCCGGATTTCCTCGTTCGCCGACTTTTCTCTCAAAGTACCCTGGAGGAGGGCCTCCAGTACTCTCCTTTCCTCCCGTAAATACCCTTGTTTTCGTCTTTTCTTTTCACCATCAATGATGGATTCAGTCATGAATTTTGAATGATTGTCTGTGTTTATTGTAAATGTTTTAATGCAAAAGTAAATATTTTTACAAAAGACAGCAAAATTCGATTTGATATTTGGATTTGTCTCATTGGGGGTTGAAATCCTTCTGAATGAACTTTTTCAAGAATTTCTTCAAATTTGGCATGACTCGGCTACTGTATTCCTTAGATCAGTTACAGTAATGCAAGAAGTCTTCTAAATGACCGGGTTACGGTAGCTGAGTTATGTTTTAAAGTCCTTACTAGAGTCGGCGTTGGAGAAAGTCTGGAGAAAGTTTGCGAGTGCCGATTTTCTCACCACAAATCCCAAAATGTAAAATTCGTCCGATCAATCTGTGTTGTCAATCACTATTTGCCTAAATCACACTTATTTATATAGCATATCCCCTCAATTTACTTGACATTTCACCCTTCAATCACCTCTCCAATCAACCTCTTTGGCACCGAAACTTGACTCGTTTGACACCATAAGAAAAGAAAAGAGAAACAGTCCGCGTGGCAAACGTATCGTTTACGCGGTCTTTTCTTCGCTTTTTCCGCTTTTCTTCGTCACCACCATCATTTTTGGTCTCTTCACTTCTCTTTTTGACAGATCTTTTCATCTAGTCTGGACAAAAACCGTCACTTTTTGTCGGCACTGCACCGTTTTTTTCCTCTTCCCCCTTTTCCTCTTGACATCACTATCGGCCTTTTTTGGACGATTTGCCCTTCTGATCCCCTTCCTTATCTGAACGCTAAACGGTCTTCTCGTACGCTTATCATTTCATTAACAAAGGTTATTTAATTTTCATGGTTGGCCTAACTTGCTGAAACTTTTTGCACATCATTTTGCCTGACTTTACTTGTACAGTACCAGTGCTGAATAATCTTTTCCGAGTAAAAATTGCGATGTTTTTGTTTGATAAATTGATGCCAAATTGATGTTGATGCACGAATTGATGTTGATGCACGAATTGATGTTGATGCACGAATTGATGGCTACCATCAATTATTTCTTAAAGCCCCAGGTCATGCTGGTCAAAACCTGACAGAGCAAAGCAAGCAAAATCTAATGCCAGAACTTGGCTTCGGGCGGCCTCAGGTATGTGAACCAAATCATATAAAGATACAACTAACAATAAACCTGACCAAAATCCGTACCTTTATCCTGAGCCAGATTTAGATACAGCCTTTAACCTGGCCCTAGCTTTACCTTGCCCAGGAAATGGTCTTGTAACCGGTATAGGGCACTCAATCACTTAGCAAAGGGTCATAACCTATATTTTCCTGTACTATACTACATTTTGTGCATCTAAGTTTACCATCTACCCAGCTCGTTTGTTCTAAACACCTCAAAAGTTTACCAACGCTCTTTTATTCAAACTTTTTCAATTCTCAGAATCGGATTTGAGTCACAAAAGTTTCCCTACCTTTTTTCTTTTCAAAGATTGACTTAAGAAATTCCCTCGCCCTCACTCTCAAATCCATCCGACTCAAGCATTTTCCCCTATTTTGGTGAGAAGAGGGTTTTTGTGTGATTCAGCGATTCGGTAAACATTTCCTCCTTTTTTTCAATTCTTCTATTTTTCCACCTTTTTGGTCATTTTGATCGGTAAACCATCATCATTTTTGTATGTTTCACCCCAATTAATCACTCCATTCTCGGGTAAATATCATTTTAAAACAAACTAGAAGCTTGAAAGGACTTATTGCATAAATTTCTTTTTAAAAGCTGACTTGTTCGGAAACTGGAAACTCGTAGCACATTTAATGCTTTGTTGTTACCAAAAAAAATGGAAGGAGTGTGCCAGAAAAGGTGCGTTTTTATTTTAAAGCAGAAAGTACACCTTTTTTTAGACTCTTTCAAAGTGATTCCATCTCATTCTTCATCCCAATAAGCTGTTTTTCCAAGTCATTTCTTTTTAATGATATTTCTCAAATCCAGAATTGATTCGATGGAATTTCTTCCAATTTTCCCAATTTCTGCAAAATCCAGGGGAAACCCGTTTTGCCGTGGGGCAGTGGCTGCAAATTTGCATTTCTGTGAGAGGATGAGACCTCAGAAAAAGGGGTTATGACAGGAAAAGAATAGAGAAGTCATCACCAATCTGATAGAAAAGAAAAGGACAACACTTTTCACATTCTTCATCAACTTTTCAAGCACATTTCATTGATTTTAACAAATCACTGTATGACTTTCAAAATTTCGTTAAGGCACGATACGAATACAATAGGCTACGGTGGTCATTTGCCTGCACTCTAAAGCCTGGACCCAAATACAATAGTCCGATAGATATTTTGTTTCACCTAGACCTCCGCTGACTCAACTTTTCTCCAAAGAATATGAGCCAACTCAAGTTTTGCCTCCTCAACGGTCTTAAAAATCCGAAAGGAATTTTGCGTGATTCCTTTTCCGATCTTGCACAAGCACAGTCTCATTTCTTCTCTTCTCCGATTTCCACCTCTTTTTCAGCATTCCTTCACACAATCTCTTTTCTTTTCTTTCAATTCAATCCCCTTCTCCCCTGCAGGCTTTGCGCATGCATACCACACGCACCCCTTCTCCCTTTCCATACCTACTCCCCCTCCTCCCTTCCACAGCACACATTCCATGCATCTTCTCACCACCTTAGCTTTTCTTCTTCTTCTTCTTTTCCTTTTCCTTTTTCCCTTTTCCTCTTTGATTCGATTTATCAACGATTTTACTGGAAATTTAGATTTTGAGTCATTTTTTTTACTGTTAAACCTTATGCGGATCTTACTATTCATTTTTGAAATTGTTTAAGCTGAGTAAACGTGACTCTGGCTGATGCAATTTTGTCTGCACATCACAAATTTGCATTTAACTACCGAACAGTGAATTAAACATGGAGCAGTCTTTTGGCCAATTCTTGGCGTCTTAAAAAGCATCCCAAATCGCAAATTCGTGAATGCGAGTAAGCGGCAAACTGAAAAGAAATTGTTTTTTGTAGAGCTGGCAGGATATATGCAAATTTGCAAATTTGCGTCGGCCAGAGTCACAAAAACATTAGTTACGTTTTTATAACTTTGAACAACGCAAATTTCAGGCAAATCGAGAAATCGATATGTAAATTTTGCGTCGGCTAAAGCCACGTGTACCGACATGACTAAAAAAACTTGGTAAGTAATAGTTCAGATCGGTCAAACAAGACCAGGGCCCGGCCAGGCCAGGTCAGAACCTGGCTTCTGACTTGACCCTAGCCTTGAGTACAAGTGCTCTAGAACATAGCATTGTTAAAATTTGTTCAGCTTCTAAAGTCTATTCCGAAAAACACAGACTTTTGCCTAGCCTACGAGCCATTTCACCCTTTCTCAAACCCCTGATCATAACCATAACAAATCTCGATGTCTACTCAAAATCCAAGAGTTTCTGAAATCCTTTTCCTTTTTTCCTTGAGTCCTTTCTTTGAGTCCTTTCCTTTTTCCACAACTTCATTCCACAAATTCCCTCACCCAATCCAATGTGATTCTTATCGGAACGGTGACCCTAAAATCCGTTTTTCTCTCCTTTTTGCGCTTGAAATTTTCAGTTTTCCAGGCATTTGAAAGCCTCAGAATGTTTATTGCCCAGTGTTCAATGTACATTTTTTTGGAAAATTTCATGAAATCATCATTTTATTACCGATTTACTGGGAAAACCAATGCTTATCTCATTTTCTCAGTAAAACGTTGAAAACATCACTAAAATTGCCGAACTTTGCCCTGTCACGCTGAATTTGAAAGTTAAATGATTCCAAAATTTTTCTTGTTATTGCTGAAATTTGGAGATACATGGGCATCTTGTTGTACTTGCAAGGTATCACAGTAGATCTCTGGTATTGTACTTTTGCTTGTAAGCATCCCCTTTTTGGCAACTTGATTTCAAAGTTGGCTAGAAAATTCTGGTACATGCCTTTCTAGTCAGTGTGTCAGAAAAAGTCTGTTTGCAGGTTTGAGCACAAAGTACACACAAAGTACAGTTAAAGAATAAGGCTAGGTTTGGATATTCTAAAGTTCAATTTGTTTATGTGACTACAATATGCTGGAGTAGAGGTATTTTGACTGAATATCTTTCCAAATTCCATAAGCTAATACCCAGCATACTGTGGTTAAAGAAACGGCTACAATAGCTTTAAATACCTATCATCCATAGGATTCTAATGTACCTTCGAGTCAATTCAAGTCGAGAGAGTGCCCTGGAAATACAGCTCCATTCTTCTTTCACCAATTCTCGAAAGGTCATCGAGAACACACAAAAATGTCACTTTACTTCAATTTTTTGAAGAATGGCATAAAAGTGAGAACTTTTCCCTCATTCTTCACTTCCTCTTCACTTCACCGCGAATTCTCGGTGGTGTCCCTGAGGGTTAAAAAAAGAAAAAGAAATGAAATCGAGACGGTCATTTTATTGTCTCCTTTCCTCTTCATTTCCTTCACTTTCTTACTTTCTACAACAAACTCGTTTTTTCTTTCATTCGGATTTCTTTTCTTCTTGAAAACTCCAATTTTTTTTGAATGAACATTGTATTGACCGGCAATTTCACCCCTTTCCACAATTATCTCTCCACGTAAACAAACACGAAACTTCGAAAGAAAACTTTCAACTTTTTGCACTGTTTTTGACTTGTTTTAGCTATTGTTTTAAGTTTTCTTGATTTTTCTTTTTCATTTTAACCAATGTTAGACCGTAATTCTTTTAAGTTTTAAAAATTTAGTTTTTCCCCAATGCTGATGCTTTGTTAACTCTTTTCCTTTTCTCTACACTCAATCATGATTTCGATGATGTCTTTTGCCGAGCTGCAAACGAGAAATGAACCCGGATCAAGGTCAGAGAAAAAATAACTTCCAAACGTTTGAAACAACTTTCAAATTAAGATGTAAACCGTGCTCTAAACGGACATATTTGCGCAACAATTCCCTGATCACGTCGAGTTCCTCGTGCTCCGATGAGGCGTCGACATCGAGTGAACACGAAGATGAAGTAAGGGAATTGCATTGTACTTAAAATTTTCAAGACATTCAGTTTATTGTTGTATTCAATTTCATTCAGGATTTCCATTCTGCATCGAAACATCCAACCGCAATGGCTTTGGGTCGCCTCTTCGCTCCACACGATTTCGATATTCTCGAATCGCTCGGCGAGGGCTTCTTCAGCTATGTGCACAAAGTGAGTAAAATGTCTTTGAATTTGAAAATTTGAATACCGTAGTTTAAAAGCCTTACAATTTCCCTAACAATAAAAGTTATAAAGCGTGCAAAATACAATTGCGGCTTATAAACGAGATGTCTAGTCTAAGCTAGACATCTCGTTTGCATGTTCACAACACTAAGTAAATTGTGGTTTTCTATAACCAAATTTCATAAGGATCATCTTAAAACCAATCCCGAGTCGATCTGACAATTGGAAGTCGAGTTATAGAGTAAAATAGAAAAGTCCCCAAATTCCAAGACTAACCACGGAATTGGATGCAATTTGGAAGGGTCTCCGAACTCTAAGACTCCTCTGGGGTCACTTTGCCTTTTTCCTGGTTTTTCTCTATGTTCACAAATTGCACTAGAGTTCAAAAATGATCTTTTCAGGTGCGAGTCCGAAGCACAGGCGAATTGTTGGTGTTGAAAGTGGCCAAGGGAGGGGATACGAGACGAGGAGAGCACACAGCGATTTGCAAAGAGATGGCAATGCTCAGAAGAGTCTCACATCAAAATGTGCTCGGATTGAAGGGTGTATGCATCGAAAGGAGTAAATGTGAGTAATCAAAGGAATATAGTGATTTGTATTCGGGTAGACATAGTGATTTGTAAGACAGATTGAATAATGTTATGTTTCAAAACTGCATGGCAAGCGGTTTGACAAAGTGCTGCTCTTTCAGATGGTTGGGATGTGCATTTGTTGACGGATTACTGTAGCGGTGGCTCGCTTCAACGCTTGATCCTCGATCATCCTCGAGCGATGAAATGGTCTGAAAGGGTCTCCTATGCAATCGATATCTCGTCCGCAATGGAATACATTCACTCGAAAGGAATCATTCATCGAGATCTCACGAGCATGGTACGCGGAAATTTCTAATAGACCTCAGTCTTACTTGTCTTTGTTTAATAAATATTCAGCCAACATAGCTTTTAGAATGTTCTCCTTCAAAATCTCCCCCATGTCCTTTCGTGGAGTCGAGCTGTTGTCTCCGATTTTGGACTCGCTTCGGAGATACCGAAAGATGCAGAGGTAAATAATTGCTTTGCGTGCTTTACGTACATTGTGTAAGCAGAAACAAATCCTTTCTGGTGCACCGGCTTTCTCCTTTTTTGCCGTCGGCCGTTGAGTTCCTTTTTGCCTTTTTGAATCCCCTTGTACTTACTATTAGGACAAGTTTGCCAGCTCAATTATCCTAATTTCCACAACATATATTCATTTTTAGAAACTTCTACAAGTCGGCACTCCATATTTCATGTCTCCGGAATGTCTAAAAGATGAGTTCTACGATGAGCACAGTGATATTTTCTCATTTGGAATCATTCTCTGTCAACTCATCGCTCGTGTTGACGCCGATCCGGAAGCTGGTTTGGGTTTTTGGATAAAATTTGAATACTCAAGCCTTTACCTTAAAATTTTAAGATATCCCCTTCAAATCTCACCAACTTTAGGTCTCTATCGAACAAACGAATTCGGTCTGAACTATGTTTTGTTCGCTTCGTATTGCCCATCGGATACACCAATCAAACTGATCGAGCTGGCGTTTCGGTGTTGTTTGGTAAGTTGTGGAAAAGCTTGATAAAATATGTAGTTCATACTAAAGTTCTATCTTTAACTCCAAAGCTATTTTTTTCCAGATGAACCCAGCCCACCGTCCATCGTTTTCTCGAATCCGTCGTGAACTCCTCGAAATGAACATTCTGCGTCTTCCCTCGCCAAACAGTTTCCAGCGAATTTGTGATAATGCAAAAATTTCGAGGTAAAGAATTCTTTTCTACCGTAGTTTTATCAAGTAAAACCCACTTCCAGATCTCGATCCGATGCCGCTTTGAGGCGAGTCTCTTGCAAAACGAGAGCCAGCTTGCGAAAAATGAACACAATGAAGACACACTCGATCAATTCGGTCACTGAAGGTCATTTCTGCTGAAATCTCACCTTTCAATCCTATTTCAGGCGTTTCGATTTCTTTTGACTCCTCGCGAATCTCAGCCGTAGAACAGTTGGCGAGCAAATTCATGTCCAGTTCGGGCACATTGAACGATTTCCAGAATCCATTTCTGAGCAATGAAAGGTTTGTTGGAGAAAAGCATAAGGAGAAAGAGAGCTCAAGTTTTGAAGTAGGACATAATAAAAAAATACAGTAGCAAAAGGAGCGTTTTGTTAAAATGTGCCATTTATCGAAAGCTAGCGTAATCTTACCCTAACAGTACAGTGTCAATAAAACGGTTTAAACGACTCTAATCTAATTTAGATGCGGCTGAACTTTAACAAATTTTCAGTCACTTCTACAAGCTCTTAAGTCAATCATTCAATTCCAGATTTCGAGAGAGAAAACTCGTCGATCCGCACCGTGATCCATCGCGGCGATCAAATGAAACGCGAGATGAAGAAGAAAATCACTCATTTCTTCGGGGAATCATTAGAAGGTTAATAATTTGCTAATATCATCAAGAAGCACTTGACGCTCTGAGATACAAATTAGCCTATTCATATCCTTATAAAGAATACCTCAATAATTTTTGCAGATGTTCCTCTTTACCATCGGGTATCGAACAAATGCAACCGTCATCATCAGAAGATGATCCAATCGAAACATACAAAGAACCGATTGGACCGGGAGGGATTCCGATGGCTTTTCGACAATATGATCTAGTGAGAAATATATCCCTTTAGAGCGTTTTCTAAAAAGTGCGTTCAAGAAAAAGCTACCGTACTTTGATTATTTTAAAAACACTGGCTTTTACCGGGATTACGGTAGCTTTTTCAAGAAGGTTCACTTTAGAAAACGCTTCCAATACAGTCCAATCCAAAATATCATCGCCAATTTCTTTCAGAATTTTCTCCGAGAGGCAAAATCGATGAAGCGTTTCCCGTCGAGACGCTCAAAAATGTTGAATACAAAAAGGGATCAGAGATCGACGAAAGAACAAGAAAATGAGCAAATGGTTTGTGGAAAGATATTCTGAAACTGATTTAAAAATTCAGGATAATCAACGAGTCTCATCTGGATCACAAAGAAGCGATTCTAACCGATCATTCGATTCGTCGACGAATGATGTAAATTATCCAAAGAATCTAAAATTTGAATATATATATTAGATTTTTAAGTTTCCCCAAACCATTCCATTTCAGATTTCTCCTCGATCACAAACATTTGACTGTCTTTTGCCCACGGATGACTCAAATTCGGTCTTTAATAGCAAAGAGGTACCTGATAAAATCTAGAAAAAAAAAGTAAGCCAAAATTTAGACTCAAGACGTCATTCTACTCACAAATCCGACAACCCCACCCTTTAATGGAACGACAAATTGTGCCATCATCTGATCTTTGAACTCTAAAATCTAAATCACAATCCAAATACAGGTCATTTCAATTCACAATTTCACTTCGACGCTTTACAAAACTTGACTACGGTTCATTGCCAGTTTTTTATTTGTTTTGAGATTTAAAAAACTAGTTCAACCCATAACTTGATCATTCACGGGAACTTTTGCTAAATGCTCATCACTTTACTTTTTTCAAATGTGCAAAATCGAAATAAACCTTTTATTTTTACCCGATTAAAAGCGAAACACGAATGTACAGGACATAAAAGATATCTATTTACAAAAATTAAAAATCAAAAACATACGAGTATGTCGGTATTAGTCTGTGTAATTTTCATCCGAATCATCCGAATGTGCGTCCTTTTCTTCGATGGCCGTTATAACATCCGGTGGCGCGTAATCACAAATCTAAAAAGAATCATTAAAATCAAAAATTTAACCTAGAAACGATTTTTGGTCAACATTTTTCGATAAACTAAAAACTGTATTATTGTACTTTATATTCAACTACTATAAGTTTAATTTTGCCTTTCACATTCTTGATCCGTAATTTAATGTCGTTTCCTTTCTTTTAACATACAAAAAGTTTACGGAAAGCTATTGAAATTAAAGCCACAGTTATTCTTTACCCAACTAGCATCTAAAAAAATCTACCGCCTTCAATTCATAAATTCACTTAATACTTTCTTAATAAATTTACAATAAACCTTCTTACTAACCGTTTCATCCTCACTGTCATCGCTTTCATCTTCGGCTGCCGTTCTCCTTGCGCCCATTCGCATCACATACTCCCTCGCTTGAAAACGAGCCAACTCGTCATCCATATCCTAAAGCAAAAAATTTCGTATGAGTCGCGAGTCTCTGTTTTTTTAAGGTACCAAAGAACAGCCGTCAAAAAAGTCTTGGCCGGCCAATGTTTTCTCATTTTTTCCCCCGTTGGATCGTATTCAAATAAATCGATCCCAATTAGTTTTTTTGTGGTATTTTGTGAGAGCTTTAAAATTATATTCTTAGAGTTTTGATTTCGCTTTAAATAGAATTTTTCAAGCTACTTTTGCATAGGAGGCTAAGGTTCTTTTTCTCAGATTTTGTTTAAGGCTTCAAAACTGCCAGTAGCCTTTCATTTTCACCAAAACAAAATGAATAAATAAGTAATAGAAGATCCAATGCTATTCTAATTGGAACCGTTTTCAATGTAATCAATTTATTCTTAAAATACGGATTTTAAAAATTATGCTCAAATAAGGTTTTTCGATCATAAAACTCTTAGTTCAAAGGATAACGAAATACGAAATTGCTAATGCTGTTTCATTTTAACAACCTTTGAAAATACTACATAAAACTATTTGTGGTCGATATATTTGGATGTGATCTATGAACCAAGTGAACACTGACCGGCCAAGACTTTTTTTGACGACTGCAAATGATGTTTTTGACCAGCGGTTCAGCAAATACTGACAAAACAGCAGTTAATTAATAATTTTTGTTAAACTAACCAAGCACTCTTGTTTGTCGTCTTTTCGCGTGGGAATGATCCAACGTCTTGGCTCAACTTTTGACTCCGTCATGGTCCTCTAAAGTACTACGGCTTTACTATGATAATAAAATTAACAAACATACCTTATAAAGTGTGGCATCGCAAGTGTGCTCGTGAAAGTCGATTTCCTTATCCGGTACATAATGACGTCCATTATAGCGACATCTAAAAAAACTTTTTTTTACCAAAACAACAACAAACCTGATCATCATAAACCCAGGATTGTTTTTCATGTAGTCAGCGCGGCATCGAGCAAGATGATGATACACTTGTGCGGGCAAAACGGTGTGCTCCTAAATTCATTACCGTGGAACTATTTATAATGACCGCTTTTTATACATTGTTAAACATACTTAATATAGAAAGTTGCTATTTTTTTCCACTAAATTAAAAAGACATTGCTATTAATTTTTTCAAGAAAAACTAACTTGGTTGTAAGGGCATTGTGCATGCATTCCCGCCGGGTATTTTTCCGCCATTTTCACTGCTGTTGAGCCCACCATAAAAAGATCTAGATCAGAAGGTTGCTCAATAACTAAAGGATGACATTACCATTCCTGTTCGATTTACTAACAACTGTGTTTGCATCATTTGATTGTTGAACTTCTCTTGAAGTTGATTGAAGTTCTAAAGCAAGTTAACGTCATACACATTATACTTTCAATCGCTGCACAAATTAAAAATTGTATTTAGGTGCTTGTTATAAGCTAGAAAATTGATTTTCTGTTCAAAACTTTTGAAAAAACGTTACCATATTCTTACTTTTCCTTTGATGAAACACTGGCTTCTTGTCTTAGTCTTATTTATAATTTAAGCTTTACCTTCTAAAGGCGCTTCGACATTTCTGGTCGGGTTGATCTCAATCTTCTCATCCACTCCAAAGAAACGAATCGGTTCCATTCTAAAATAAAAAATTAACATTCAGAAAAGATGTTCGCAAATGAATCGCCAAATGACAAAATAATCAGAATGGTTCGAATGCATTTTGCGGAAAATCCCGAAGAAAAGAAAAAGCACGGAGATGAGCCGGAAGAGCCGAGGCCGCAAGTAAAAGAAAAGGATACAGGCATTAATGTGAAAGAATTTTAGGATTGCTGTGGATTATCTTGTAATCCGTGTATATTTGATCTTCATCATCAAGATGTGATGCTTTGGGCAAAAGTTTGCCTTTCCATAAACTAGGCAATTTGATAAGTGATCAGGAATGTGCTCGCTGCATAAAGCTGGAAAATGGGATGACGCTGTTTGAAGAAGTGATTGGCGTCGAAGAAAACGTCGACAATTTAGAGGTTTTACTAAAAACCTTTTATTTAAAGCAATGCATTCAAGGAAATTTTTTCAAAAGACGAGTATCGGCAGTTTGAAATCGTCGCGATAACTAAAATGGCCCCCAACACCAATATGTACAAATTCAAAACTGCGAAAAGCAAGGATTTACCGCTAGGATGCCACCTTATTGCCAGGTTAGTCAAAAACTAAAACGTCAGCAATATTTTGAGATTCTCGAACGCAACTTAAAATAACAAAGTATTTATTTTCATTTAAATTTAATTTTATTCTCGTTAGACCCGTAACAAACAACGCAAATACGTACATACCGTAGGATATACAAAGCAGGGAAGAGATCAAAAGATTATACGGCAATTCATTTATTGAGTCAATTCATTCTCCGCCTTGGCTGCCGCTTCTTTTGAATCGCGTTGCTCTTGAGCCCATTTCAATTTATCCTTGTAGCCTTGTCGCTCTATCGGATGTCCACGGCAATGCTCGAACACTAAAATAAAACATTATATTAGAGAGTTAAACATTGAGCGAATTAGTAACAACTCCAGAATGTATAAAAACAAAGTCTATCATTATCTCGGCTTTAAAACCACATGTTTCTGCCAATGCCATTTCTTTTTAAAACTTTCATGCATAAACTTTAAATCTTACTGTTTATGAACTCTTCAGCATTCCATCCTGCTTCATCAATCATGTATCTTCCTATCAGGTAGCCCGTTCGATTCAACCCATGTGTGCAGTGGACACCAATTAGAGTATCTAAACTAGTGAAGCAATAGATGAAAACCAATCCATTGAGATGAATTACCTGGAGGTGCTCGCTGTAAATACGAAGTAACCAGTTTGTTAAAATTCTGGACGATGTCTTCTCGAGTATCTACCTAGAAGTTACCAGTATAATTTAATCGCGTAATTCATAAATTACCTCATGGCCTGGACAATTCAGCTTCTGATATTCGATTCCTTGACTCGTGAATTCGGCGGGATAATAATATCTAAAAATACGTTTAAAGAAAATTGTCGTTTGAGCAACCTTTGTGTATTCGTCAAGTCGATCACTAGTCCAATCTTCTTATCAACTCGTTTTGCCTAAAATCACAAATTTAAGTAATTGCGTATTTATTGCTTACCATTTCCAAGAGAAGGTCCACCGTAAAAACATCATCATCTTCTAATTCCTTGTTTCTGTTAAAGAAGTTTGCATCCAGCGGGCATTTGAACGGGATGAAACGCGTGTGTTCAACGTGCTTTCCGACAGGTTGATATTGAAGCCACCTAAAAATAAATATTAAAAGAGTACCGATCTCACGATAGTTTTACATCTAACAAGCAACACGGCTATTAGGTTGTAATTCAAAAGTGGAAAAAGTTAAAATTTTTAAAATCAGAACGTTTTCATAAGAAACTTTTGATACAGCCTCATGACTTCTTCAAACGTAGTTCTACATCTTGAAATGCTAATTTTTCACGTAAATTGAGAATTTGTGTGCAACTTCTACATAAACAGGTTTACATAAAATGATTTATATTATAGAAGCGCGTTATTTATGGTCAAAAACATCAAAAACAGTCCAACCTGTCTGGGATACGTCCAAATCCCACTCCACCACCACCACCGCCTCTTCTGCCCATTTCTGATGTCGATGGGGTCACTCGTAACTCTAAAACACAACACAATAGTAAAAATAAGTATAAGACGAAGTGATACTGGTACAGCTAAAGAAGACAGCTTTTGTTATTCCACTCATTTCGCCGCATTCACTTAGTTCAATAAGGATTAGCAAAACAGATGTTTAAATTTTTCATTTTTTTTCAGTTTTGAAGAATACCTCTATAAACTTTAAGTGCTTAAACGCAGAATTCTCCTTGCCTGAACGTTATTAAATAACGATCGTTCCATGGCATAAAACATTAGTACGACCTGTTTTAAACATTTAGCATCATCAATCAAATCACCCCAGAACAAAACAAAAGCTGCCTCCCCGCCCACAATGTAATAATACGAAAAACTTACTTGAGAATTGAAGTTGAATGAATTCCTTTCGTTTGAAGTTGCGCGAAAGAGACACAGATCGAAACCTAAATTTTACAAATACATTACTTCCTTTAATGTACAAATACATTACATTAAAGAAGTAAAACAACACCAAAACGCCTAAGTGAAAGATCGTTGAAATTAGGTGGTCTAAGTAAAAGACTTCATTGTGACCAACGCGTAGCTGTGCAAAGTAGCGCTGTGTTTTTGTGGGGACAAGATCACTGCCGGTTTCGACGAAAACTTTCGTTTAGAAGGGAAAAGACTAACGTTTGGGCCTTTATCGATAAATTAGGTTCTTCCCATTGCACTATTCGTTTTCAATTACAAAAATTCTATGCCAGAACATACAGAATGCTTCAGAATGGCTAGAGCTCGTATTTTAAAACATTAAAGGCAGCAACACGAACTTTGAAGTGCAAAATGCTGTTGTTTGAAGCAAAATGGCTAGAGTCTAGGGCAGTCCTTGTCATAGTGGGTGAAAAGGTGCGCAAAAAAGGTTGCATTTGACCCACTCCCGAAAATTTCATTTAAATTTGTTCCCAAGATGTGGTTCAAGGAATTTAGTCGCCTACATTGCTCCGGTTTGATTAAACGCGATTCATGAAGTATCAACATTAACTATCCCACCTTGCACCGCATTAATCCTCTGTGGGACTTGGAAACAAAACATTACGGCGAAATACTGCTTACGAGATCTTTTCAAAATACCGTTCAAGTTATCGTGGTTGTTGGTTTCTATTCGTGGTTGTCATCACCGACGAGAAATAGAAGAAAAACCCTTCAATTACCTAATCTGCCTCGAGCGGTGCACAGTTGGGGCATGGCGCATAGTTGGGTGACCCGGGTTGGGACTAACCCATTACTGTAGCAGGTCTGGGTTAAGACCGGTGTATGTAAGCTACAGTACACCCTGAACTATCGCCAAAATGCAAGAAAAGACCCCGTTATCAGGATGGAACTGAATGATTCAGTGTTGGATTGAAAGCAAATGATTTACCTAACTTCTCTCGGCATAAACCACCACCCGGAGTCGGCTTTTCTCCTGACACAACGAGGTGCACCTGTTGATCGACCTCTTCGCTTTAATTATGCTACTGCTGACTGTCAATTCAGTCATTCGATTGCTGAACTGGCATTAAGAATGAGTTGAAAGAATGAGACATTGCACATTAGAATAATTGTCGAAAAGAAAAGTAAAATGCTTGTGTGATATTAGAATGCGAAGAGTGAAGCTTAACTGTACAAGGTAGTTGTCAATTGTTGGTTGAGACAAAGTTGGTGAGCACTTCGAATCATTTGATTTGTCAAAGAATTATGCAGGTTCATCAGGAAAGAACTACTTTTGATGGTAACATAAAAGATAAATAGAGTTTAACGAGAGGCATAAAGCACTTGACTATTGCAGTGCAATTCCACAACAACCACACTATCTCGATTTCAAGCTTAGGCAAATATGCAGAGAATCATGGTCATAAACACGTGATAGCCTTGCTTGAAGTGTCTACGAGCTTCGTCTTTTCCCATCGACGCGGGGAATCTGTGTGGAATTAGAAGAGAGGAAAAAGGAAAAGTGAAACATGAGCACAGATGGCCCCAATGGGAGGTCGGGAAATGGGGTGAAGAAGTAGAGAAAAGGGGAGGGGTTGTGAATGTGGAAGAGGAGAATATGCAATGAGGGAGATCCCGAGAGGGACCCCTTCAACCAGGCACAAACAGGAAATGGATTGGCAAGGGGGAATTGGTGCCATTCAATTTTGCCACCAAGTAGACCATGTGGTAGTCGGAGAAAAGTTTGGGTGTAATTACGAGAAGTTTGAGGCAAGCTAATCGTTTGGTGAAGCTTTTGGGAGTAACTAGCGTTAGCTTGGTTTGATTGCGTAGAGAACTTGAAATTTTCACTAAACTCATCTAACAGCTAAAAATGAGATGATACTCATTAGAATTTGGCTTATTGCAAGAATTTTATTATAGAATTTTTTATATTATTTTATTATTATATAATTTTATATTTTATCGATAAACTTGACTAGTAGCTGGGTCCAATTCCCACCAAAAAGCTAAAAATAATTGAAATTCCCCAATCAAGGGAATGGCAGAAAAATCTCTGGCAAAAGGGAAAATGAATTGAAAAAAGCAGTGGCCACGATTGTTTCTCTGGAAAAAAAGAGGTCGAAATAGGAAAGGAAATTACATTCAAAAAAGGGAAAAGATAAAGTAAGAAAAAAAATGAGAAGAAGAAAAAGCTGAAGAAATGAAGAAGACGAGTCATGAGAAAGAAGTAGAAAAGGGAAAGGAAAGAGGGATTCGGGTGGAGAGGGTCCCGGTTTTGAAGGGGATCTAATGGAAATTCCTCTCTCGGCACATGCGTCATTTAAATAAGGGATAAACAAATGATGGAAAGGTTTTTGATAAGGTTGAATTAAAAAAACAGAATGAAACGGCTAATATTTATGCCAGTAGATTACGGTAGGCTAATACTATGTAGATTACAGTAGGTATACAGATACGGTTAGCACCTTTATTAGGGTTGAGGCTCCATTTTGTGGTTACTTTGTGCTCTTTGGTAAACGCTCCTCCTCTGGCACATGGCTATATTTTAAACCGTAGTGAATTGCTTTACTCAACCCAATCTGTTCCTTTTTGAACCTCAAACGTTTTTTACACATTTCCAATTTTTCACACACTAAATCCTTTATCATAAAAACTCTTCTCTCACACACAAAAAAATGTCTCTATCGAAAAATTCATAGGGTTTGCTGGGACTAGGACACACATACTTGCACCATAAATTATAGAAAATTATAGAAAAATGATTGTATTTAGATAAAATCACAGTTAACCTATTATTGATAATTTTTTTGAGGAATCACACTGTACAGAAAAAAGAGTAACTGAGCAAAAGAAATCACACAATGCGCAGAATTTGGCTAATCGTAAAGCAGAAAATTCTTCAATGAAAGTCAAGAAGGGACTTGATACGATTGAAAATTGATATTTAAAATAGAATAATTGAATATCATATTATTGGTCGAAGAGATCTACATGGTGATCATTAGAATGTAACCGACAAGCGGAAGGTACGGTTTAAGGAATGGACCAATGTAAGGAGTCCAGATGATACAATCGACGATGTACCAATAGGCCTAAAATATTTATTTTCATTAAAAATGTATCTAGTGCACTTCTTGATTTTTTTTGATTACCGAATTTTGATCAGATTTACCAGTTCAAAACCTAATTGCTAGCTGAGTTACAATTTGAAGTAGATTTTCTAAAAGATGTCAACTTTCGCGATTACCGTAAAATCACACAATGCGCAGAATTTGGCTAATCGTAAAGCAGAAAATTCTTCATTTGATTTTTTTTGATTACCGAATTTTGATCAGATTTACCAGTTCAAGACCTAATTGCTAGCTGAGTTACAATTTGAAGTAGATTTTCTAAAAGATGTCAACTTTCTCGATTACCGTAAGCTTGTCCTTGTTTGTATCCAATCTATGAATTTTACAGTATCCTTTGATTGTATTATACTTGATACCGACTGTTACCGATTGTATCATACTTGCATTCAAGGCCTATGTTCAACTAATGCAAGGCCAATTCTAGTGCATTTCCAGACGTTCAAAGATTTATAAAAGATGTGTACTTAAGTGATAGGAGTACTTTGAAGATTACAGTGATACTGGGCATTACAGCATATTTGAGTCTACCGTAGCCTTACAGTAATAATTTAGTTGACGTTCTGTTTGAAATTATCCTTTTCAAAAGGTACAGTTTTCATTTCTCCTTACCTTAAACTGTAATCTTCCCCAGCTCGGGAATGTCGCTCGTTGATATCCAACAGAAACTGATCCATTTGCCATTTTTGCTCTCGCCAAAAGCACCTAGAATTTAAAGATTGTAAAGACCTCGTTACAGTATCCTAAGTAGTTATGGTTGAGTTTTTCTATCATTGATTGAATAGTTTAAATTGAAAGCTAATCATATTTATTCTTTAAACTTTTAGGCATACTGTAGCGAGGATGTAGGACGGATGCTGCAGTATCAGCTACAGTATCTTTACAGTATACTGGTACATTACAATATCGGCATATTGTAGCAAAATTTGATAGCATTTAAGGTGACAATCATACTGGGTATTACAGTATATTTGATGGCTCGGATTACAGTAACTTTACAGGCTACAGTAACTTTTACGGTCATCTATGCATAGAAAATGAATGCTTGTTATTTTTACACCAAATCTCTCACCTTTTCCTCATTACAACTTCCATCTCGATTCGTGAAATGAAACCCGAATTTCCCTAATTGCATCAGCTTGCTTCCACCGTCCGTTTCACAATCCAATTGAATGATATAAGGTGGGTCGTTTTGATCCGTGTACATCCACTCCCAACTGTGCGCAATTCTAGATAAATCTCTATTGGTTATTTCTGTGGTCACAAACTTGTGCGGTATATAGGCACATTTGACGGTTCCCCATGTGTGACATTGATGTATCATGATGCCCATATCGGGTGTATACCTGAATACGTTTCTCTTTGATAGATTTTTCCTTTTCTTACCAATGCCCCAATTTGTCCGCGAGTCTCTCGAAGAACTCGAGAGTGTTATCACCGGCACGGATGAACCAGTTGGCACCTGAATTCAAGAATTGATTGAAGAATTTCTCAGGAAAAGTTGCCATATCCTAATGGCAATGATTTATGGATCGAAGACTTTTGTTAAATTTCACCGGAATATTAGTCCTTGACAATTTTTGACAACCAGACACCTTTTGCTGACCATTTCAATCCAGTGTCTTACTTTTCCATAGTAATGACTTTTATTTTCTTCTGTTTATTTTTTAAAAGCTAGAGTTGGCACTACTGTACTTTAGAGCAAGTCACCTTTTTTGTTTTTATGTTTTTCTTACAAGAAGCTTGCCAATGCCGGTCGATTCGGGGTTGATTTGACCTTATGGAATCGATCACTCTGACCAGGGAACCCTTTGAAGTTACATTTCAGGATCGGTTTGATTTCAAGGTGCAAACATCCCCGGGTTAAGGGCATCTCAAAACTGCTTTCAAAACTTTGCACGCTTATATCTCAAGAGCGCGTTACGATAAGTAGGTTTTGAAAGCAGTTTTGAGATGCTAATCGAGGGATGTTTGCACTTCGGAACCAAATCGATCCTGAAATGAAACTTTAAAGGGTTACTTGGTGAGCACGATGTCAATACTTCTATGCCAGATGATTCGGTTATTGACAGCTAATTATTACAGCATCACGTTCAGGGTGCTCAACTCTATAAGGTCCAATCAATCCAAAATTGATCGGCGTTAACGAACTGATATTTAGATCATTCTTCTGTTAGTTTCGAATCTTTGAGTTCCTCTGTTCCTCTACTTTAAAAAGTATTAGATGTGCTTTTCTCAGAGAATTTCCAAGAGCCAGCGTTTCACTTGTTCTACTCAACATTCGTAACTGATTTTCCTTTCAAAGCAATCTTTAGCCGATCAAGAGGGAAACGTGGAGGCCATCGCAGTCCTGTCTCCCTCTCCTTCCTCTTGTCCCCTTGTCACGGTTGTCGATAACATTGTGCGGTGCATGACTCGTCCGTGTGAAACGGGTCAAGGACTTTTCGAGTTCCTAACTCTTTCCCCATCTTTTTTGATTTCAAAAGATTAAAAGCCTAAATTTCCCCCCTTTCTTCCAAAAACCCACCATTCACCCATTCGGCTCTTTCCGAAGTCTCATCGATCCCGATTTGATCGAATATCGCATCGTAGCTCAAGTCGTCCTCCAGATTCAAATCGAAAAGGTTTTTGCGCCAGAAAGTGTCCTAAAATTGTTGTGCGTTGTATGGGTAATTGAACCATAACTTGTGCCAATTGTTCATGCTGTGCAATTCAATAAAGAACCCTGTTTTCATATCGTATATTCTTAGCTAGTATGTAGCGCTTTGTTAAACCTAGTACTGTGCCCACTTTCTCATGGACATGATCTAGTCTAGTACTTATTGTGGAAGATTCATAATGTAGTCAACGTTTTAGGTTTGGTGCTAAATCATCTTTTGTTGGCATCTCCATTGGATTTGTTCATGAAAACGAAAACAAGTCAACAACAAACAACAAAATTAGTTTGGAAATTGTCAGTTATTCGTAAAAATGGGCATAGATCGAATCCAATTGAGCTATTGAGCTGTTAAAACACGCAACAACGGCATTTTGGGCGTAGTCGTTACTATTTTACTGATAATTTGGTGAACATTAAAAGATTAACTAAACTATTATAGTCATTATAGACATTATAGACACTATTATAGATAGTAAAGGCCTGAGCCTCCTCCTGAAAATTAGGACAAAGTTACCGAGAACTTTCTGCGAAATAAGTAACAAAATTCTTAAATACTTGATTTGGTACCAAAAATAATCATCATTAGAAAAATAATCGTCGGGTGGTCTCGTCGTGAATGTACTAGTACCTAGTACTAAACCCAAGACGTGCCCAAGACAAGGCATTATGGGCCGGCTATCACAAGATAAATTGTGAACTAGACCGGCTAATTCAAAACTTAATCTGTTTACGCAAATTTTTCCTTCTTCGCTTCTTTCATTTCCTCCATCTCCACAAACCTGTTGCATCATCCAGAAACTTTTCCCCTTTTTGATCAATGAAATCGCGATGTTCGCCCTCAGCAAATAGATCATTTGATAAGGACCCTCGGCAAAAGAAAACGGCTTCTAAATTTCCTACTTTTGAATTTCAAAGTTTTTTCTCAAAAAGCTCAACTCTGCAAATTGATCAGCGAATTTTTCGTTTAATGAAATGATAGGGGAAAAGAACAGACTACCCAATAAAAGGGAAAAAGAGAAAAAGAGAAGAAATGAGAGGAGGTCAAATCTCTCAAAGAAAAAAAAAGAAATCTATCAATCTTGAGATGAAAAAGAAAAACCAAATACAATAAAGTAGATCAAAAAATTTACATATAAACTCGGAGTGGGCCAGTGGAATTGTCGGATTTGGGGCCATCGGCGTCGCATTGTGTCCCGGGATACTGTGTCGAGAGTGATGAAAATGAATCTGAAAGGGAAGTTGATAAGTAACAACTAAATTGGCTGTATGGATGGATAAACTACCTATATATTTTCGAGCAATTAGACACACAATACAACAATAATAAAGTACTCGGAATCGTCTCAGAAGCAAGATTGTCTTAACGGTATCTTTCCAGGTCAGAAAACAGATCTAGCTTGGCATTGCCTGGCTTTACCGCTGGCTTTGGCTCTGGCTTAGGACACGGTTGAGACTAGGAAGCCCTTGCCTATCAAAAGTACTTGTATTACAGAGATTAAGGCAAGTGAATCAGGTCCACTGTCACCTTAAAGATTTTGCTCAAAGTACTCAAAGTTTAATTTTATCAATCGCAATCAATCAAAAAGCAATCAATTCTAATTGTAAGCTTAGGTAGTATCAAATAATCCATTACTCACCTGTCGTGTATCCCCAGCGATTGCGTGTTGCAAAGGAAATTGTCGGTCATGTTCAGCGCGAATTGGTTGAGCATCAAGAATGCGGGTGGACGGGTGAATTCCCTGAAAGGGTTGCATTGAGATAACCAACTCTTTTACTCTTGCTTATACTTTTTGTAAGAACTTACTTATCAAGCAATTGTATCAAATCGTGGAATTCCCTCGAATTCTCGATGTAATCAACGCCAACCAATGGTCCGTGAGTTTTCACGTATCGCACTGCTGAGATGGCGTTGTTCGTTTTTCTGAAACTTTTAGGTAACTTGAAGAATGTACCCCGTAATATCCTCAAAAGTGTACTTTGTGCTCAAAACTGGAACCGACCCTTTCTGGCGCAGTAATTTCTAGCAAAAATAGATAAAATCGAACCTTCAATGGTTCAAAAAGGGCCTTTTATTTGGGCTTTTCCACCAACTCACCTTATCACCAGTAATCCGAAGAGAAACCAAAAGCCATAGAAAAGATAATAAGGAAATAGTCGGACAGCCCAATGAAGTTGTCGATTTGCAATCGAGGATGATCTCTTTGCGACGGGTTTCTCAGCTTTTTCCACAGTTTCCTCAATCCATCGATTTTGTGATGTTTGTGGGTCGGACGGGGAGAGACGTCTTCGTCTCACCTTTAAGGGAGAAGTTGAATATTTTAAAATAAAGTTGATTTAACAAGTTGTACTAGAGATTTCAAACGAATTCTCACCTCATTTCCGGCCATTCTCCTTTTTTTTGAGGCCCAAGCCCGGCTCCGAAAATTTAGATCTGTCTCACTCTTTGAAAAAACGGAGTCTAGAAAAATTTCGAAATAAAGCCTTTCATGCGAAACTTGAGAAAGCGCTCAACACAATCAAAAATGACTCATCAGCAAAAACTTGAATCAAGGAAATCAAAAACTTGAATCTCACCTCTTTTAACCACAAAGAACCACCTCAAGAAGGTGTCATGAAAGGCAAAAAATGACAAAAATGACATTGAGAAATCGCAAACGAACGAATCTCAGAAATTTGGCGAGAGAAAAAGAGAAGTTTCGTTGTTTGTAGAGTTGAAACAAAGGCTGATGTGGTTCGCAAAAGTTGAACGAGTTGTGATAGGAAATGGGAAATTGAAACAATCGATTGATGGTTGAATTTTGCACGAAACAGATAGTAAGATAACACTAAACGACGAAAAGAGGATCTGGCTGGCCTCGCTTCTGACTCGGCTCTAGCCTCGCTCTATTGCATGTCTGATCCAGCTGTCATGTGCATGTCTGAAAGCTAAGTCGAGCAAGGCGACCGGGACCTGGTTTCTAGTCTAGCCTCGCTTACAAATCCTAGAAGCCGACCAGGTCATTCTTGGGCTTGAACCGAGCTTCAAATCCAACCTTGCTTCAACTCCAAAAAAGTCCCATAGCCAGTCAGCCAAGGATTAAATCCAACAAACTCAGCTAATGTCAAGCTTAGCTCAGCTCAGCTCGGTCCAGCTCTTGTCAACTAGATAAAGTGGTGTTAGGGATTTGGGCTCAAAATGAGTAAATTTCTTTGCGAAGTAGCCAAATTCAGTCGAAATCCAGTTGTTGAAATGTCGATCGGTTGAAAAGTGATCAAAAAGGGGAACAGGGAACTGGTCGGATTTCAGTAAAAAAGAGAATTTGAATGGGAAGAGGGTAACATTTTAGCAAGCTTGTGTTCTAAAAATAAAAACTAACAAATTGCTAGTTCTAAAGCTAACAAAGCTTAATCAATCTGTTCGATCAATCGATTAAGGTGCTGCAAAGTTACATCCGGGTTTCCCAAATCGTTTCCGAATGGATCTCCTTGTTGAAAAGGACAGGTCACACAGGGGAGATCCCCTTTTCACCCCCGATTGTGGTTGTGACAGTCAGTGTTTCCCTATCTCTTTCCCTATTTTTTCTTTTTTTTCTGTCTAGAAGGTCTGTCTATGTGATGACCTGGATTGGAGAGATCGGGGATTGCCCTACAGTCAATTCCTTTCCCCAACCATTTTCCCACCTTTCATGCACTGATTACTTTCAACTTTCAGATCCCTTGACATAGTTTTTTGGTCGCTTTAACTTTTTACCTAATCCACTTACAAGTTGACACGTTCACGTATGGATGAGCAACTAGGGCGATCGAGGGTAGACACGATTGAGGCACTTGGATTTAAAGAAACTCTACTGAAAGTTTTACACGTCAACAACTGATGCATGTAGTGACTAAAAAGACGAATTATTTTTTTTCAGAGTCTAACTTGGGACTCAAAAGCACGAGTTGTTCCAAAAGCTAATGTAAGCAAGGAAAATAAGCCAACTGGAACAGTGCTAGTGGTAGGGTTGGTCAGAGCTAGGCCAGGCCAAAAGTCAGGCGACTAGGCTCATAGCCAGTGTGGCTCGGCAATATTGGGTTGAAGCATTCGTGTTTGAGAGCAAGGTTGTCGGATCCATTGAGCTTAAGTGGGCAAGCAGGTCATACCAGACACAGAATCAAAGATGTCAAAGTTACCAATGAGGCCAGATAGTAGAACAGAACTTAAGACAAAAGTAACTGTTTTATTTTACCGATAATCCAGTAACTTATCAATAAATCTGTTATCTTAAAGGGTAAGTTCTCGTAAAAGTCAATAGAAAACGTCATCAAAGAGAAATTGCTTTAATGGTTATCATTTGTACAGAAATGATGAGATAGGAAAAAGATATCGAACTTTTAGAAGTCAGATATAAAGTCTCGATTGAGTTTGATTTGGAGTTCGTTTAGAATCAATTATAGAAAAAGAAGAGAAAGAAAGGAAAGAAATGGAAAAGTGCTACATGAGGAGTTAACCACAATGGAACAATTAGAAAACACAGAGAAAAGAGAGAATATGTAGTTATTTCAAAGGGTAAAAAGGGGCTTTCAATGGGAAGAATGAGAAAAGTGAGATTGGTGGGGGTGAGAGGTGCTGAGCTGAGGCTGACCTTGGACCGTCGCCCGCGGAATCGGGTGGGGGGGGGGGAAATGAGAGTACAGCCTGACCATCTCTCTTCACCACAATCATCATCATTTTCATCATAAACGCTTTCTCACATCAACGCTGATTTCCCTCATTTTTAGTGTTTTCACGTGGGTTTTTCCAATTTCCCCTTTGTCTCATTTCGAAAAGTTCTCCTTGTAGAAAGTTAGCTGCAAAAAGGTAAAGGCAAATTTGATATCGTAAAAGTAAAAGTATTCATTGCTTAGAGAAATATCATTGGCTTAAAAATCAACATTAGCATCTTAAGGTTTAAAAAAATAACAAGTAACAAGTAACAAACATACAATATTTTCTAAAACAGAGTCAAACGAAAGCTATTGTTGTATATGAACAATCTACACACAAAAATTTCACAAACTAATCGATTTCCAAACGAAATTTCACCACTGATATCCTCTTTTCACTTTTTCCCTCTCGATTCTCTAAAATTTTCTTCAAAAGTTTTGCTTGGATGGTTTCCCTTTTGAAATGGAAATTTTTGGGGGAGAACTTTGGCAAACGGAAATCATTTTGGCATGATAAAATAGAACTAAAAAAGAATTTGTGGTGGAAAAGTGTTCGAGTTGTTCAGGAAAAGAAAGCCGCTTGAACCTGCATGGAAATAATGGAAATTTTCTCTAAAATTTTCTTCAAAAGTCTTCTCGGCAGAATATCTAGCTATTATTTTTTGTTTCAGTACATTGTAATACGATGGGACATTAGGATTTTATAGTACCTTAAGTACCCAAACTGTTCCATGTTCTGTAGCTAGTATAGTCGGACATAATTGGATCTAAAAATTTGCAATAATTCTTTGATGAAATAATGGGCACAATAATAAAATAACTTCTTTATTAATTAATAAGATATTCTGTTATTCGCCTTGAATAGAATGGCTGTAGTATACAAAAATTGTGTGACTTTTAGAAGCAAATCAGACGAGGGCCGTTTTCTGACTCGTCAGTACACTCCATCGAAGATCGGAAATGGATATTTTGAGATACCGATCAAAGTAAAGTTTGATAAATTCTAAAATTCTGCAAATTTTAATTTCTAGTTGCTAATATTTTTAGGTCTATGATGACGGAAGATTCTCTCGAATCGTCGCAACATGGAAACTCGGCGATATGATTGATTGGAGAGGGCCATATGATACGGAGCATGAGTTTAACTTCAGAGGAGTTAGTTTTAAAAAATAATATTGATTCAATAACCCAATTTTATCTAGATGCCATCGTTGTTGATTGTTTGCGGAGGAACCGGGATTGCACCCATTCCCCGAATTTTGGAGAGAATCTTTGGAGATGAACGAGTGGAAACAAGGTATTGTACAACAAGCACACAATAAAATTTAATATGTAGAATGGATTTAATCAATTTATTATTCCAGAAATTTAATATGTAGAATGGATTTAATCAATTTATTATTCCAGAGTCCGCTTGGTCTGTTGCTTCAGCGATCCGTCGAGCGTGCTCTTTCGAGAGGAAATCTCGAAATGGACAACGAATTGGAATTGCCAGATCGCGTGCTATTTTAGCAGGAAAGAGGTGAGATTCAATACAATATAAATAAATATTTGACTTGATACTTCGGCATCACGGTCTTGTCTTGAAGATAAGTCTTGTAATCTTTTGTTTCGCTAATCAAAAACATAACGAACCGAAGCTAAAGATCAATAATATTAACGTGTTGCTATGTTAACTTGATATAACGAAAACATCTGTCGGTTCTTTTTTGCTGACAATTTAAGGTTTTTCGTGTCTTTCTCAGCAACAACCCTTCAATTTTGACTATTTTGACTATCATTCGATGCTAAATAAAATTGCGCCTCAAATGATACCAAAATAACCTTAAAATGTAGTTTCCATGTAAAGTTATGAGGCAAAAGGTTAAGTCCCGCCCATAATGAGCGGGGTTTGGGTTTTTAGCCAACAACTTTGCGTGAATATTACATTTTGAGTTAATTTTGGTGTCATTCGACGCACAATTTTATTCTGTATCGAATGATAGTCAAAATAGTCAAAATCAAAGGGTTGTTGCTGAGAAAATGACAAAAAACCTCAACTTTGCCGGCGAAAAGAGATAGACAAGTGTTTTACAAGTCTAGTGTACGGTACCCTAGGTAAATTATCGACAAAGGTATCGTTCACTGTCTACTTGCAGGAAGAAGCCAAATTGCCGTATCTCGTCGAGGTGCACAATGAAAGATTCACCGAGGTGGCTTTCGAGGAACAACTCGAGAAATTGGGTAAGTCTGACAATCACTTTGAATTAATCTGACTGACTCCTTACAGTATGCCAAGATAAAAGTATTCAGCTGGCAAAGTATTTAGTTAAGAGGTACTGTAAAAAGTCTCTACTGTAGGCTTTCTACAGTATACATGTAAATCTAGCGTGCATTTTGGTATCATTTGATGAGCAATTAAAAGACTCAGTTAATGCTATCAAAATTGAGCTGCTCGAATGTAAACTTTGATTACGATAGCTTTCTTAAACCGATGCCTTTTAAAAAGCGTATATATCCAATTTTTTCAGATACTTTATCTCCCCATCCAACTCTGATCGTTTGTGGTTCACTCGCCTTCGAAAAAGATGTAATCAATTACGCGATTCGACAAGGGATTCCGAGTGAAAAAAGAATTAGATTTGCTTAGAAAAAGAGAACTTTAAGTAGAGTAATAGATTAAGATTTGCTGAATTCTAAATTTTGCTCATTTCACTGGTATTCATGGTGCTGGTTTGTGATCCTGTGATTGTATTTGAATTTTATTTCACTTTACTAAAAATAAAAGTTATTCTACGTCTATTCTTTGTTCTTTTGTCTTCAGAGATCCATTTGTTTCCGATTTTGTTTCCGATTCTTGACTCCCGGATTGTTGTGGTGGAAGTGAATCTTTGACCAATGCATCGACCACTCCGCACGCAAATGCGTCACCGATAATATTCGTGGTGCATCGTAGGCGACCCCTGAACAAAATTGTATACTTCTTGAACTTTTTGGGACTTTTGGGACTTTTACTTTGACTTTTTGAATGAGTACTTCATAACTTTCATTAAAGGTAATATTAATATTAACTTTTGATATAATACTAGAGACACTTGGGGCTTTCAAGTGATATAAATCCTGAGAAAATCAAGAGACAAGACACTGTGAGGTTTTCGGAGTTGGGCAATCGTTTGGAGTTGTTCATTTTATTGAGTCCACCAGTTACCACTCGGATTTAATTAGTCCAAACTTTTAGATAAATTCCGAAACTGACTAGCCTTGACTTAACTGACTTATAAAGCTTGAACTTTCAGGCGATTCGGCGAACCGAACTTAATCGTAAAGACTAGTAACCAGGAAACTCAAAATTCTATAAAAGTTTTACCCCAGACCTGAGTCGCGCGGTTACGCTAGCGCTTTATTTACCCGATCTACCAAAGCTTCGGGTAATTTCCTAATTCTAAGTGAATCTTGAAGTGAACTTTTAAACTTGACTTTTGAAATTGATCTATTCCCAAAACCCTTACATCAACCAATCAACCGCCATCACGAGTCCCACATCAGAAGTGGGAAGACCGAGTGAGGAAACGACCAAAATGAGAGTGACAAGACCACCCGATGGAACTGCCGCTGCACCGATTGACGCCAAAGTGGCGGTGATTCTAAAAGACTCCAAAGTGGTACGCGAGAGTACGGTACTGTAACAGTATGTAACAAAGTTCAATGCTTTAAAAACAGTGAATAGTTCAAAGATGGTGTTCAAAGAAGATTATTTGGTGCCAAGTTGAAGTTTTTGGTAAAACCCACGCCACAGTGGCCACCTCGCCGATCCCCATATGAACCCCGTTGATCTGGGCGATGAAAACAGCCGCTACCGCCTCGTATAAAGCTGTTCCATCCTAAAAATGTATTCAAATATATTCCTGCCGACTAAGTCTATTAAATCAAACATTTATATTGCTAATGTTCGAAGCGATAGATTGAGAGCTTGTGATTTTAAAATCCCGTTATTTCTGATGTTTGTTGCACTTTTATAGCATCAATAACATTGATTAGATTCACAAATTCTAATCTGCAATTCTGAAAATCGGCAAATGCAAATTACTCAATGTTATTAACCATAAACCAAACTTTTTACCATATTTACATTCGTGCCAACGGGAAGTACAAATTTCGAAACTCTCGGATCAACACCCAAACGATCTAAACACCCGAAAGTGCACGGCATTGTGGCAGCACTGAAATAAGCTTCGAAGATATCAATAGATACAAATATAATATTAGAATTAGAAATGATTTGCATTTTATTACCTCGATCCAGTCCCGATTCCGGTGATCAACGCCTGGCCGAGTCCGCGTAAAAACACGTACGGATTCTTCCGTGAAACCAAATAATAGATCATCGGTAAAGTGATCAAAACTTGAAGTAAAAGACCTGAAATTTCATTTAACTTTAAATGTTACAATTTTTACCTATAACAACGGTGAGAATGAAGAATGAGAGTGTTCTAACCGTTCCCACCAAATCGGTCACTTCGAGGATTTTTGAGCAAACGATCGAACTGATTCCGATCGGGCCAAACCTGGATTTATGTGAACTTTTATGTTACAATAATAGATCTAGATTGAGATTATATTAGACTTTATAGAGTTTATTTTGAAATTTACATTGAAAACGCACCACATAATCAATTTGACCATTTTGTGGATGACGAGATCGATGGCGATGAAGAGATCCCTGGAATGAGACTCGGCTTAAAGATATTTAGCTATTGGTTTTGTTACAGGAGTTGAGCTGAATAACTTTTATTATATTAATTAAACTAAAGATATTTAGCTTTGTATTTGAGATTCGATCAAAGAATGAATCAGCGGCTAGTCTTTATTCGAGCAAAGAAATGATAGACTTGTCTACATATTTGGTACACTTTGTGCTTGATGGAAACGTACCATATCTGGCGCAATATATTCTTTATTTTTGTGACAAGGTTATTGTATGAAAATGGAGAATTAAGCGCGCTAGACGAGGTGTGTTCAAGCAAGCACAAAATACACATCGAATTGAAATAAAAGCATTGAAATAAAGGCAACGCTCCGTAATTACGCTTGCTCTATCGGTTAAAAGGCAAAGTATTCAGCGTTTGTGCGCGATATTTTGCTCCCGGCGGTTTTCAGTTATGGGGAATCTGACTTTTAGGTCCTTTTTTAAAAAACGGGCGAGGCTTAACATGGGTTACGGTAGTTTTAGTCGTTTGAAGGGAATTTTTGTGCTAAAAAGTGCGCTCGACGAAAACAATTCTGTTCTCTGTTTCTTTTTGCATTTCTTTTCACTTCTTTTTCCTCATTTCTTCACTTCATTCTTCTCTTTCTCTATTGTACATGGACCCTTTAAACTATGCGCGTTCTCCAAACCCGTCTCGAAGGCTCCAAACCCGTCCAAACCTGAATGGGTCCTCCGCCTCCCCAACGGGAAACGCAAAGGGAGTGAGCGTTTTTCGCTGGTGGTGCTAATAAAGAGAAAATGTACCGTAAAATGCTTTTTCTTAAGCTAAAATAGTTTGCATTTTACCTGAGCGGAAAGGCTTGCGGTCCGACGACGGAAATGCACACGCCGACACAGATACAGAAAAGGATTACACCTGAAAATATTCCGTTTTCAAATAAAGATGAAGTATCCAGTTATAGCTTTCTTAGCTTTCTTTGTAGCTTGTAGCTTGTAGCTTTCTTATTCAATATCAATATCCCCGCTTCACTCACCCAAGACATTCATCCCGTTAACCGATTGTACTTTTAAAACATCTTCAGATATTTCGGTTCCATTTGATATCTATAACGAAAATAATAACTGAATATCAAATCTAGCTTTAAAAAATGATAACTGAATATCTTTTAAAGAGTTTAATGCTAACTTTTGTAAGAGTCACATATTTTGTTTGTTTCTGCTGGAAAGTCGCTTGCACAATGTTATCCGGAAACATGTTTCTGAAATCAGTAAAAATAAATTATCAATGATTGTATATCAATTCCAAAACCATATACCAACAATTATCTCAAAAATACCTCAACAAATCCAAGACTTTTTCCTGTGCCGGTGCCCTCTTTTGCACTTGTTCCCCTCCACTTTTCATCGTTTTCTCTTTCACTTTTGGATCACCCGGATGAATGACCAAAACGAGAATCATACCTAACTTGAAAATTTTAAATTTTTACACGATTTTATCGAAAAATTTACAATCACAGCGTGTGAGAGGGAGATTCCATAGTAAACGAAGGCACGCGAACCGATTTTACCCGAGCTTTTCGCGTCGAGTTGGGAAATTCCTGAATGTTTCTAAAATGATTAGGGTATCATTTTTTACTGTTTACCCATTATCTAAACATTATAATATCTAACTAGGTATCCCTATTATGTCTGGTTCGGTGCCAAGGTCGTTTCAAACGGTTTCTAACAGTAATAAAGTAAAGAAATGAATGGCAAAGAATTTGGAACCGAGGGGGAATTGTACTCTTTGCCTTCTGCTTATAGAGCAGATGCTCTACCACAGAACTATTGGCGTCTTCTTCGCGTAGGAAGAAATAGGAAAGACAAGGAAGAAGAAAGAAAGGAAGAAAAAGAAGGAAATATCCGGGTCCCCAGAACCTTCAGTCATCAGGCCAGGCCAAAGCCAGGCCAAAGCCAGGCCAAAGCCAGGCCAAAGCCAGGCCAAAGCCAGGCCAAAGCCAGGCCAAAGCCAGGCCAAAGCCAGGCCAAAGCCAAAGCCTGGTAAAAAGTCAGGTACATGCCAGGCCTGCAGTAAAGCTCCGCCAAGCCAGGCCCGGCTTGGCAGAGCCAGGGACTGGCCTAGGCAGAGCCAGGGACTGACCGGTAAACTTGTCACTGTCACTGACCAAAGTCTACCTACCAAAGTTCTAAAGAAAACTGACCAGAGATGAGACTCGCCGCAATCAACGGCAAAATGATACACTTCAATGTGTTCAGGAAAATCTCGCCCGGGAAACCGATATATCGGATGAGATCTTTTGATGGATCGGCTAGCCTGGAATGCAAATTTGAAACTTGGGCGGCTTAAAATGGGAAACACATTCTTTCTGGTGCACTAACTGCAATTGATAAATTGAGTATCCCAGAAAGGGTGTGTCACATTTTTGAGCACAAAGTAAACATCCGAACTTCTAAACCTTAACAAAAGTCCCAAGCAAATCCCGGTGAAAACAGAAATAATTGTCACATAGAGTAGAAGATGTTTCTTCAATTTGATGAACCATTTCGGACGTCGCAGAGATTTTGATGACATTCTGGAATTATTATGTTATTTAAATAAAATTTCAAGTTCGATATTAGTTTGTTAAAAGTTTTTCAATCAATAAAAATAGTTTCACGTTTTTGTCAGGAAAGGGAGTCATTTTGGGTACTATTATTGGGGTAAAGCGAAAAAATTTCAATTGGTTTGGAAGTCGAGAAGATTATCTGATGAAATTATTTGAAAAAAGATTACAGTAGACCGTGGAGATATTTTAGAAATTTGGGTGGACTTGGTTCGGTTCATAATATACCACTAATTAGATCTAAATCGTTTATCGGTACTGGTACAAGTCAAGTCTATTACCAGGTATTATAACTTGTGAACCAGGAGCTACAGAGCTACAAAAACAGCACAAAATACTCATAACAATAACATAACAATATACAAAACCCATCGGAAAACAAATCTGGAATCAGCAAAATAGAGATAGGGGTTCAATTCACCGATAAAATGATCGATTCAACGAAACAAAGCGATTCAAAGGAGAAAAAGTGGTCTCTTTCAGTTTTTCCTCTTTTTCTTTTCAATAAATTTCTTTCTTATGATGGAAAACGATAGTATAAGCAAAAAAAAGAAAGAAAAAACTGGTCTTGAATCAAGAAGAAAATGATTTGAACTATTTTGCTCACAAAGTTAACAATCATAATATTATAAAGACAAAACTACAGTAAAATTTGCGTAAATCTTTAAAAATAGGTAATATTTTAGATATTTTCCATAGCTAGGTTCAAATAAATCGAATGAACCCTCGTTTTTTGAGTTCACTGACAAACTGACAATCCGCTTTCAAACTTTTCCCCCGAGAGAACAGAGTGAAACGAAAAACTCAATAATTTGCATTTTCTCATAGATTTTTTTGTAGATTTCAAAATTTTACATAATTTTCAGGAAATTGAAAGCTAAAAGCAAGTTATTCAAGCAGAAATTTGGTACTTACAAAGTTGTCAGCTTTAAACAGCTTTTTTGACAAGAAAACTATACTCTGACTCTATTTTTATAAATATTTTAGTTGTCTTAATTAGTTGTACAACTTTTTCCATACTAAACCCCTCAAAAACGATCCATTTCCCTCTTTGACTCGACGCTCTTTGTGCGCAGTCATAAACGCGCGCTTTCTGGCACATGGCTGGAGAGGGGGTGATAAAAAGGGCAACCTCTCGCACTGCCCAACGTGCTTTCGGTGATGAAAAAACTGGACGACGAGTCTGAAAAACATGCTCATGTTGTTAAAACGAGGCATTTGTCTGAGTTAGCTTTTTGATTTTTTAGAATTTAATGATTCCTGAGCTTTTTTCCCGTTTCCAAATACCTTTATTCATCCGGTATGTACAAAAATCACAGATAATTAAAAATTAGGCAATGCGATTTGATATGTGCGTATTGGAGAGTACCTAGTGACCAAATTGAACCCGATTTTGAGTTTTTGAAGAACTTTCAGCAATGCGATTCGATCGAGTTGATGTGCGGGAAAGTAATCCGGTAAAAGAGATGGGAAAGACTCTGAAAATGAAAATTTTACTTCAATTATCAAATTCTAAAGCTTTTAAACAACTGTAAAGATTAAATATTTGATAAATTTATTTATTAGTATAGAATTTGGCATATTTTAATCTATTGTACTTTTATCAAAGTTCACCTCTCCCAAAACGATCGCCAAACAGAGCCAAACGTTGAATGTCATAAAGATCAACATTAAAGCATAAGCAAAAATTATCTGAAAACAATTATAGACATTTTCTTTTAGTTGAAGTTTTATAATTAAAAACTTTCTTGAAATTTTAAAACTAAAACTAAACTAAAAGTCTTTAAATAAACTTGATTTCATATTTTTCCTTACCTGAATGATGTGAAGTGGTAAATCGACTAACGCCTGTGCAGAGATCTTTGGACTAAAGCTGAAATTTGCATTTAGCCAATTAAACTTTAATCCTTTTACCGTAATCTAGCTTCCGGTTCTACTAGAGTTGTCTCCAATGCATTTCGAATATCTCGATATTGACGGAAGAATTTCACCGTCTCGTACGCGACACAGAAGAGAAAAACGAGGAGACAACTGAAGAACATTCCTGAAAAAAGAGGAGCGGTTGAGGGTTTTTCAAATTTGAGACTAATGCCTAAATTAGATTAATGCCATTTTCATCTTGTTTTCCCACACCTCCCGCACTGTCGGGCATCCACCATTTGAAGAGAATTGTCTCCATTTGACCGAAGTGAAATGACATCGAGTGACCCATTTCGTGTGAAGGCTAAAATGCTGTGGATAACCTTGTACATATTTTTTTTACTATGTCTTTGGTGATTAACGTGCTTTCTAAAAATTAAACCTAGAAAAAAAAGCTAAAAAGCTGGTTTTCTTAAAATTTTCCCAATATTTTACTTGTGTGGCCTAATATTCATCACATCACATCAATATGGCTATATATCAAGATATTTTCGGCTTCCTATTTTGCACTATTAATTGAGAGCTTTAAGGGAGCTTTAAAGGAACTATAAAGGAGCTTTAAAGGAACTACAAAGGAGCTTTAAAGGAACTATAAAGGAGCTTTAAATGAGCTTTAAAGGGACTATAAAAGTCTTCACCTTAACTGTTGATCATAAAAACTTATGATCAACAGTTAAACTCACTGATATGCAAAACTGACAAACTGACTCACTGACAAAATCTCCAAAATTTACTGAGATTTTGTCTTTTCCGTTTTCTTCTGATCTCCATTGTTGTTTGAGTCTCGTTTTGGGGTTTCTGTCTTTTGTTGGGTTTTAGTCAAAGCTGAAGTTACTTTTCGAGTTAGAGTTAAAGCTAAATTTTACGTGAAAATGCTAAAGCTCAAAAAGATATGAACTACGGCAGTTTTCTGTGGAACCAAGAATTTTCTTAAATGAGCATGGCCATTTCTCGGCCTCTTGCAAGCCTTGAGCCTTGCAAGCCTTTATCCTCAACAATAGCCTAACAATATCTTATAGCAATGCAATCCATATCGACAATGGATACATTAGAACAACAAAAATCTCCGAAGCCTCACCATTGTCGTCGATTCTTGTTGAAAATTTGCTGGATGATGGGCATGAGCCGAGTGATCGTGACCGGCCATTCTGGCTTCCTGAAAACAAAAACTTTATAACAACTTTATAACAACTTATAACAACAAGTCTGTAAAGCTGAAAAGCTTTGAAAGGAAAAGTTAGAGAATTGAATGAAATAAAGATCTTTTGAGGAATCTTTGTCATCGAGGGGCTTTTGGGGGAAATTGTGTTGATTTCCAGTGAAATGGGTAAATATTTTTCTTTCTCGAAAAACAGATGACTCTAACAGGAAAGAAATTTCAAGAATGTATGAAAGTGCAGCAAAAGTTTTTGCCTGAAAAGTTGGGAAACCTTTTTTGGAAGCAAAAAGCAACTTTACCATTAACTACTGGAATAATACTGCAATGCTACAATAACTTTACATTGGATAGACTAGAAAACTGTATAGCTTAAGCAAAAATACTACCAACTGCAGTATACCGTCTTTTATTATAAGATCGAAATACTGTAATGATTACTATGTGTCATTATTGATCATTGTTTACTGATTACTATGTCAAAGTGAAAGCATTCAATTAGCAAGGCTGAATACCTTCAATAGAAGATTTAGATAGATGGCTATTCAGTCTTAGATTTTCGTTCCAGCATACTGTAAGTGATCTATGTAAGTTCAGGCATACTTTAGCCAAATAAGAGACTGAAGCTGTACAATATTTTTGGAAAGACATAGAAAAAGCATAGCTTAAGGTTCAAGAAGCGATTGAAAGATAAACATTTGAACAGTTTCAAATTGATCACAAAAAATTTAAGCAACTACTATTTCTGCTCGTTAATAAAGCAATCAATTGGTGGTTTAGTAATCGAATGAGGCGTTTCGTGGGTCATTTGTTTGGAGGGGGAGGTGTGCCCCTTCTCTTTGTGTGATGGGTAGTCATCCCCATTTTCAAAGAGACACGCTCCGTAAACAATCGATTTATATATGTAATGACACCAAAAAATCGAGCTAATGATCTAATAGAGCTTATAGAGAATTCAAAAATAGAAAAAATAACTATAGATCAAATATTCCTGGTCATTTGGACTTCATGGAGCTGAAACTTTGTATAAACCTTTATGGGCGACTGGAAAACTTTTGAAAGACGTGAAACCAAGATACTACTGGCTTTATCGTTTGCTTAAAAAAAGCCTAATTCTTCCAAACAAGCCCAACAACATTGCAATTAAAAAGCAAACAATTTTCAAATCACAACTCGTTTGTTGCTAACTATCTACACCAAGATTAAGTACTCGTAAGTACTATCTACACCAAGATTAAGTGCTTGTAAGTACTATCTACACCAAGACTAAGTACTTGTAAGTACTAACTACACCAAGATTAAGTACTTGTAAGTACTATCTACATTGATCTTGGTGTAGATAGTGATCAGTAAGACAAAAAATTTAGCTTATAGCAAAAAAAAAAATCGTTTGAAAGAACAAAGCTTTACGAAAAGAAAGAACAACCTATTGTTACACCGCTGAAACGACGCTAGCGAGAACGGTTTCGGGCACAAAAATTGTAAGAAAAGAAAGGCTAACACTTGAACAATGCTTTTGAATACAAACTTTGCAATGGCTAAATCGGTTTGTTGTCAGTTCAAAGATATACAATCAAACAAAAATCAAATACAATTCTTAGAAATCTTTTTCCTGAAAACATCTCTCAAATTGTCTCACCATTTTCGGTTAAAAGCGTAAATTCCCGGGAATCTAATAGTCGTAAATTACGAGTCACCTTTGGCATAAAACCGGATATCCGATCAGCAAATGAGCCGATCAGGTGAGTCGAGTGTTTTTGCAAAAAAACGAAAAAGATTTCTGAACGAGAACTTATCGAATCGGGCTTTGATATTGTTTTATTTATAGCAATTTAGCAATTTATAGCAAGGTAAAGCTATTTGTTTCAAATAGGAAACAATTGTTATTGAAGGAATTACAATTTTGGTTTTCATAATGAAAATTGGCTACTTGAATAGCCAGAGCTAGTGTTGGAGTTAGAGGCTGTCAGAGCTGATGACCAGTTTCTATCGACGGCAATTGACAAAAACGTTGATCAAGAAAAGGGTAAAGAAGTCAGAATCGAAAAGAAATCAAGAAATCGAGTCGATTGAGGGTGGAAAAGCGAGGGGGTGAGGCTATGAGAAGAATGGTGAATGAAGGGGAAGAGCTGAAGGGAAGGGGAAGAGCTGAAGGGAAGGACAAGGAGGACCGGTCCGCCGCCGCGCATAGCATCGCACATAAGCATACAGGCATTCCCCTTTCTGACTCAAAAACACCCTATTCCTCTTTTGCATGAAAAATGATTCCCCGTTCTACTTTCTTTCTACTTTTCTTGTCTAAACCGTCCTCTAAATGGTGCGCTTATGAGAAAGCCACCGTACTCCAGTTTGTGACTGAATCTTCTCTCGATAAACATCAAATTGTACTATTAGATTAGATAGTTATTTAGATTAACAAAGCTACCATGGCCGTCTTTTTAAAGTGCGTGAATCTGTTTCTCTTCGTGGTCTTTACCAGCTCAACTCCGGAATAAATCAAACTACATAAACTAGAATTTCACCAAAAGACAGCTGGATCTACCATTGTAAACCTTTAATATCAACAATGATTACGGAAAAAGGGGCATCGAAAGGGATCTAGTGCTGTTTAGCTTCTTAATCACTCAAGCGCTGCTCTTTTCTTTTGATCATCGTTGTCTCACTTCTTCAGTTCTTCAAATCATCATTTAATTGGCACTTGTCTTGTTCGATCATTTTCACATCACACATACACATCGGTAAATCTTTCACAAGCAATAGCGAATCGGAAAACGAAAATCGCCAGCCAATTACCGGTGTTTTGTTTAAAACGGTTATTGATCCAGATTTGGGAAAAACTGTGAATGAAAATAAAGTTGTTACAAATGGAAATAAAGTTGTTACAAAGATACAAACAAAGTTAGCAAAGGAGTACAATCAGTTTGATGAATACATTGTGCGGTAAGAAAAAGCAAACTTTCCATTTTTGCCTGAAGTCTAAAAAATCGAAAGAGTTTATTGAACTTGAAAGGGAAAAAAGAGAGAAATGTTCCACAAAGAACTGAAAAAAACAAAAAGAGAAGAAATGAACTCTTTTGGAAAGAGAAGAAAATAAATGATTTGGTTTGAAAAGTTTGAAATGAATGAAATGTGGTCCATCATCGCTGGTTATTCTCCTTTTTTGTCCACTCATAAATATCGACTAAAGCGAGAAAATGGGAAAGAAATGAAGGAAAAACAAACATAATCTCCGTGAAGCTATAAATATCAAAAAAATGTTGGATGTTGCAATTTTTAGTGTTTTCTTCATTTTAAATTAAACTGGACATAGCAAACTGGCTCAACCCTTTTTTTTGGTTTTAAGTTATTTTTTTTTTTATTTTAAAAATTTTTTTATTTTTTATTTTTATAAATTTTTTTAAAATATTTTTTAAAAAAAAAAAAAAAAAATAAAAAAAATTAAAAAAAAAAAAAAAATTTTTATAATAAGGGCCCCTTTTATTTTGATAACGGCTTTAAGACGCTTTGGATAACTTTCCACGGCGGCCCGCAGGGTACTTTGTGGAATTTCCGCCCAGGCTTTCTATAGAGCCTTTTTCAGACTTTTAACGTTTGCATGTTTTGTTGTGCATGCTTTTTGCTCCAAAATTGCCCAAACACAGAAATCCATAACATTGAGGTCGGGCGAATTAGCTGGCCATTCATTGGCGGGAATGAAGTCGGGCAAATTGTTTCGACACCACTCTGTAGATCAATGCCTTCGACAGTAAGCTTTCTACTTTCTTTTTCTATCGTAATTTTGCTACTTTTTTATCCAATTTATGTACCTTTGATATCTTTTGTAAACCAACATAGATTCAGACTCAAAAGTTACTTAGATTAGAGAAAAATAGAGACATACCGTAAATACTGTAATAGCACCCCAGCCCCATAATGATGGTGCGGAGCGTTGCGTAGTCTAGCTTTGGACGCGCTTTTCTCGACATTGGTTTATGCTACAATGTGCACTTAGGTATCAAAAAATAGCTGAAATTCAGGGCTATTTTTTGATACGAAAGACGCATTTTTTGGAAGCACGAGTGGATCCAGTAAAATAGAGCGAATAAAATTTGCTGTCTTTAAAAGATGGATAATTTGGAAAACTACCGTAATCTTTTCTTCAGATGTGTGCGTTTCAACTTAATATTACCGTAAATACTGTGATTGGACCCCACCCCCATAATGACGGTGCGGAGTGTTGCGTAGTCTAGCTTTGGACGCGCTTTTCTCGACACTGGTTTATGCTACAATGCGCGCTTAGGTATCAAAAAATAGCTGAAATTCAGGGCTATTTTTTGATACGAAAGACGCATTTTTTGAAAGTACGGGCACTTTGAAAAAAATGAAATACTAAAAAACTTTTGCGACTACCCGACTGTACGATGGGGGTGGGGTACTATTACAGTATTTACGGATCAAGAAAAGGGTTAGCCTTTCTTTTCTTACAATTTTTGTGCCCGAAACCGTTCTCGCTAGAGAAAGTGAACCTCTTTTTTGCTTCTCTGACACAATTGATGCTAGGAAAAGAAAAGGTTGAGTGCACCAGAAAGGGTATGTTCACGTTTTCAACCACAAAGTGCACTTCAAAAAGGAGAAGGCTCAATATCTGTTTAGATCTACAAGTGCCAGAAATGGATCTCACATGCCTAGCACATGTAGAATCGCTTCTACATACCCAGAATGTTTTCAATATAATGTTTAGTTTGTTCTTTGATTCATAATTCCAGGGTCCAATCCCAAATTCCCTCGATTCCTTCACTTTATGTCCCCCTTTTCATATCCAAATAACTGACGGGCAAATACTTATGAAAAAGAGAAACTGAGTGAGATCTCTTTCCCCTTCTTTTCCTTTTCCTTCTCATCTCGTGTCTTTCGATCACCAATCTTTTCATCAACTCTTTTTTATAATGTCTAAAGAGTGTATACAACCTCTAAAAACATTCACAGATCTCCTAGTTTTTGTTATTTATCAT